TTAGGTAGGGGGTGGGTGGTTACTGTTACACCGTACTCTGACAAGTTCTTCCAATCTGGTTAGTGGGGGGAGGGGTTGTTAGGCAGGGGGTGGGTGGTTACTGTTACTCCGTACTCTGACAGGTTCTTCCAATCTGGTTAGTGGGGGGAGGGGTTGTTAGGCAGGGGGTGGGTGGTTACTGTTACTCCGTACTCTGACAGGTTCTTCCAATCTGGTTAGTGGGGGAGGGGTTGTTAGGTAGGGGGTGGGTGGTTACTGTTACTCCGTACTCTGACAGGTTCTTCCAATCTGGTTAGTGGGGGGAGGGGTTGTTAGGCAGGGGGTGGGTGGTTACTGTTACTCCGTACTCTGACAGGTTCTTCCAATCTGGTTAGTGGGGGGAGGGGTTGTTAGGCAGGGGGTGGGTGGTTACTGTTACACCGTACTCTGACAAGTTCTTCCAATCTGGTTAGTGGGGGGAGGGGTTGTTAGGCAGGGGGTGGGTGGTTACTGTTACTCCGTACTCTGACAGGTTCTTCCAATCTGGTTAGTGGGGGGAGGGGTTGTTAGGCAGGGGGTGGGTGGTTACTGTTACACCGTACTCTGACAAGTTCTTCCAATCTGGTTAGTGGGGGGAGGGGTTGTTAGGCAGGGGGTGGGTGGTTACTGTTACTCCGTACTCTGACAGGTTCTTCCAATCTGGTTAGTGGGGGGAGGGGTTGTTAGGCAGGGGGTGGGTGGTTACTGTTACTCCGTACTCTGACAGGTTCTTCCAATCTGGTTAGTGGGGAGAGGGGTTGTTAGGCAGGGGGTGGGTGGTTACTGTTACTCCGTACTCTGACAGGTTCTTCCAATCTGGTTAGTGGGGGGAGGGGTTGTTAGGCAGGGGGTGGGTGGTTACTGTTACTCCGTACTCTGACAGGTTCTTCCAATCTGGTTAGTGGGGGAGGGGTTGTTAGGTAGGGGGTGGGTGGTTACTGTTACACCGTACTCTGACAAGTTCTTCCAATCTGGTTAGTGGGGGGAGGGGTTGTTAGGCAGGGGGTGGGTGGTTACTGTTACTCCGTACTCTGACAGGTTCTTCCAATCTGGTTAGTGGGGGGAGGGGTTGTTAGGCAGGGGGTGGGTGGTTACTGTTACTCCGTACTCTGACAGGTTCTTCCAATCTGGTTAGTGGGGGAGGGGTTGTTAGGCAGGGGGTGGGTGGTTACTGTTACTCCGTACTCTGACAGGTTCTTCCAATCTGGTTAGTGGAGAGAGGGGTTGTTAGGCAGGGTGGTGTGTCACGTGAGGGGTTGTGAGACTGGGTGGTGTGTCACGTGGGGAGAGGGGTTGTGAGACTGGGTGGTGTGTCACGTGGGAGAGGGGTTGTGAGACTGGGTGGTGTGTCACGTGAGGGGTTGTGAGACTGGGTGGTGTGTCACGTGGGGAGAGGGGTTGTGAGACTGGGTGGTGTGTCACGTGAGGGGTTGTGAGACTGGGTGGTGTGTCACGTGGGGAGAGGGGTTGTGAGAATGGGTGGTGTGTCACGTGGGGAGAGGGGTTGTGAGACTGGGTGGTGTGTCAGGTGAGGGGTTGTGAGACTAGGTGGTGTGTCACGTGAGGGGTTGTGAGACTAGGTGGTGTGTCACGTGAGGGGTTGTGAGACTAGGTGGTGTGTCAGGTGAGGGGTTGTGAGACTAGGTGGTGTGTCACGTGAGGAGTTGTGAGACTAGGTGGTGTGTCACGTGAGGGGTTGTGAGACTGGGTGGTGTGTCACGTGGGGAGAGGGGTTGTGAGGCTGGGTGGTGTGTCACGTGAGGAGTTGTGAGACTGGGTGGTGTGTCACGTGGGGGAGAGGGGTTGTGAGACTGGGTGGTGTTTCACGTGAGGGGTTGTGAGACTAGGTGGTGTGTCACGTGGGGAGAGGGGTTGTGAGACTGGGTGGTGTGTCACGTGGGGAGAGGGGTTGTGAGACTAGGTGGTGTGTCACGTGGGGAGAGGGGTTGTGAGACTGGGTGGTGTGTCACGTGGGGAGAGGGGTTGTGAGACTGGGTGGTGTGTCACGTGGGGAGAGGGGTTGTGAGACTGGGTGATGTGTCACGTGGGGAGAGGGGTTGTGAGACTGGGTGGTGTGTCACGTGAGGGGTTGTGAGACTAGGTGGTGTGTCAGGTGAGGGGTTGTGAGACTAGGTGGTGTGTCACGTGAGGGGTTGTGAGACTAGGTGGTGTGTCACGTGAGGGGTTGTGAGGCTGGGTGGTGTGTCACGTGAGGGGTTGTGAGACTGGGTGGTGTTTCACGTGAGGAGTTGTGAGACTGGGTGGTGTGTCACGTGGGGGAGAGGGGTTGTGAGACTAGGTGGTGTGTCACGTGGGGGAGAGGGGTTGTGAGACTGGGTGGTGTTTCACGTGAGGGGTTGTGAGACTAGGTGGTGTGTCACGTGGGGAGAGGGGTTGTGAGACTGGGCGGTGTGTCACGTGGGGTAGAGGGGTTGTGAGACTGGGTGGTGTGTCACGTGGGGAGAGGGGTTGTGAGACTGGGTGATGTGTCACGTGGGGAGAGGGGTTGTCAGACTGGTTGGTGTGTCACGTGGGGAGAGGGGTTGTGAGACTGGGTGATGTGTCACGTGGGGAGAGGGGTTGTCAGACTGGGCGGTGTGTCACGTGGGGATAGGGGTTGTGAGACTAGGTGGTGTGTCACGTGGGGTAGAGGGGTTGTGAGACTAGGTGGTGTGTCACGTGGGGAGAGGGGTTGTGAGACTGGGTGGTGTGTCACGTGGGGAGAGGGGTTGTGAGACTGGGTGGTGTGTCACGTGGGGAGAGGGGTTGTGAGACTGGGTGATGTGTCACGTGGGGAGAGGGGTTGTCAGACTGGTTGGTGTGTCACGTGGGGAGAGGGGTTGTGAGACTGGGTGATGTGTCACGTGGGGAGAGGGGTTGTCAGACTGGGCGGTGTGTCACGTGGGGATAGGGGTTGTGAGACTAGGTGGTGTGTCACGTGGGGTAGAGGGGTTGTGAGACTAGGTGGTGTGTCACGTGGGGGAGAGGGGTTGTGAGACTGGGTGGTGTGTCACGTGGGGAGAGGGGTTGTGAGACTGGGTGGTGTGTCACGTGGGGAGAGGGGTTGTGAGACTGGGTGATGTGTCACGTGGGGAGAGGGGTTGTCAGACTGGTTGGTGTGTCACGTGGGGAGAGGGGTTGTGAGACTGGGTGATGTGTCACGTGGGGAGAGGGGTTGTCAGACTGGGCGGTGTGTCACGTGGGGATAGGGGTTGTGAGACTAGGTGGTGTGTCACGTGGGGTAGAGGGGTTGTGAGACTAGGTGGTGTGTCACGTGGGGAGAGGGGTTGTGAGACTGGGTGGTGTGTCACGTGGGGAGAGGGGTTGTGAGACTGGGTGGTGTGTCACGTGGGGAGAGGGGTTGTGAGACTGGGTGATGTGTCACGTGGGGAGAGGGGTTGTGAGACTGGGTGGTGTGTCACGTGAGGGGTTGTGAGACTAGGTGGTGTGTCAGGTGAGGGGTTGTGAGACTAGGTGGTGTGTCACGTGGGGGGTTGTGAGACTAGGTGGTGTGTCACGTGAGGAGTTGTGAGACTGGGTGGTGTGTCACGTGGGGAGAGGGGTTGTGAGACTAGGTGGTGTGTCACGTGGGGAGAGGGGTTGTGAGACTAGGTGGTGTGTCACGTGAGGGGTTGTGAGACTAGGTGGTGTGTCACGTGAGGAGTTGTGAGACTGGGTGGTGTGTCACGTGGGGAGAGGGGTTGTGAGACTAGGTGGTGTGTCACGTGGGGAGAGGGGTTGTGAGACTAGGTGGTGTGTCACGTGGGGGAGAGGGGTTGTGAGACTAGGTGGTGTGTCACGTGGGGATAGGGGTTGTGAGACTAGGTGGTGTGTCACGTGGGGGAGAGGGGTTGTGAGACTGGGTGGTGTGTCACGTGAGGGGTTGTGAGACTGGGTGGTGTGTCACGTGGGGTAGAGGGGTTGTGAGACTAGGTGGTGTGTCACGTGGGGGAGAGGGGTTGTGAGACTGGGTGGTGTGTCACGTGGGGAGAGGGGTTGTGAGACTGGGTGGTGTGTCACGTGGGGAGAGGGGTTGTGAGACTGGGTGGTGTGTCACGTGGGGAGAGGGTTGTGAGACTGGGTGGTGTTTCACGTGAGGGAGATATTTTTTATTTCTTTTTAGGATAGCATGAAAATGCTCTGCCTGCCTCTGGGGTATGGCAACCCTGAAGGAGGTTGCCAGAGTGGAGATAATGGAGATGAAGAGGCAAATGAGGGGAATGAGTAGACGTTCAAGTGCCAAAAGGATGCTGACCAGAGATATAGATGAGACAAATGGACTTATGACGTTACTTGAGTAAGCTATGACGTGACATGAGTAAGCTATGACGTCACATGAGTAAACTATGACGTCACATGAGTAAGCTATGACGTCACATGAGTAAGCTATGACGTGACATGAGTAAGCTATGACGTCACTTGAGTAAGCTATGACGTCACATGAGTAAGCTATGACGTCACTTGAGTAAGCTATGGCGTCACTTGAGTAAGCTATGACGTCACTTGAGTAAGCTATGACGTCACTTGAGTAAGCTAAGACGTCACTTGAGTAATTTATGACGTCACATGAGTAAGCTATGACGTCACATGAGTAAACTATGACGTCACATGAGTAAGCTATGACATCACTTGAGTAAGATATGACGTCACATGAGTAAGCTATGACGTCACATGAGTAAGCTATGACGTCACTTGAGTAAGCTATGGCGTCACTTGAGTAAGCTATGACGTCACTTGAGTAAGCTATGACTTCACTTGAGTAAGCTAAGACGTCACTTGAGTAATTTATGACGTCACATGAGTAAGCTATGACGTCACATGAGTAAACTATGACGTCACATGAGTAAGCTATGACATCACTTGAGTAAGATATGACGTCACATGAGTAAGCTATGACGTCACATGAGTAAGCTATGACCTCACATGAGTAAACTATGACGCCACTTGAGTAAGCTATGACGTCACATGAGTAAGCTACCAACCTGCTGGAAGAGCACTCCTAAGTACGAGATTATTGACAGCAGACAGGTAAGTAGGAAGAGCGTGAGTGCCCCGGTAACTGTGCCACGCCTTAGCCGTGTAGGGGTTGTAAACCCCCCACCCTGGCAGATTGCTCTCCGTCCAGTTCTTAGGAGCGTACTTCTTCAGATCGTTGTGGGATTCTCCGAACGTTAGGGCCCCGTATCTGAATATTATTCAATCATTTAATCCTTTTTGTTTATTCATTATTTAGATTTCTCCGTTACCATAATTTTACTCAAATTTTAACACTAAGTCACAGTAATACTTTTCAACAAACCTCCGGAAGACGTATTTCATGTTGGTCTGCACTAAAAACTTCTCTAAATTCCAGCCAGTCAAGTTCTGCAATGTGTATCCGCTAATCGAACTGAACTCCAACATGGTAGGTATCTCCGGGTAGAGGTTGTCACCGCATGCTCCTGAAATAGCGTGACGTCATGTAAGGGAGAGTGTGACGTCACGTGAGGTAGAGTGTGACGTCACATGAGGTAATGTGACGTCACGCAAAAAACCCCTACTATAAATTAATGAAGAAATATCAATTTATCTATTTCAACTACTAACCGATAGGACTGTTGTAGTAATGATGCCACGGGAACTTCATTTCGGCAGTGTGTTTCGGAGCTGTGAAGTTGTTGAGCGCCATAACCTCTGCGTCTGAAAATCCTTTCAAAATGAATTTTTATCTAAAATAGCGTTACAAATTAGAATTTGTGAATTACAATCGTGAATTACAATCGTGATCGTAAAAAAATAGTCATATTCACATTTATTTCATAATTTCCCATATAAGTACAATTTAATAAAACAAAAGTCTAAAAAGAGTTACAGCAAAACCCCAATTTACCGCAGAGTTGGGGAAAGGCAAAAGCAGCGGTAAATCGGGGTCGGGTCCGTGGTAAATCGGGGTCCGTAGTAAATCGGGGCGCGATAAATAGGTGCGCGATAAATAGGGGCATGGTTAATCGGGATTTTACTGTACTCGGTTGTTACTTACTGAGCGGCGCTCAGCCTGTCATTCCGCCGAATCTCAATGTTTATGAACATGATAGCCTGGTACCCAGGTAAGGTTACACATGACGTTGAATAAAGACTAACCGATATCAGGTGCCCAGGTAAGGTTGTTACACACGAATAAAGACTAACCGATATCAGGTGCCCAGGTAAGGTTGTTACACACGAATAAAGACTAACCGATATCAGGTGCCCAGGGACCTGCAGGGTAGCCCACCAGTTCTGCCAGTCTAGAGGTTCCATTAGTAGAGTTATCAGAAAAAGGTACGAAATAAGGGTGTTTGAACATTTCGACAGTCAGCTCTAACTGCTTACCTAGATTTGGGGAATTTGCAGTTTTTATCAGTGCATGAAATACTATATTAAAGAAATGTTGTTAATAAATGTTCGAGATTTAACAAAGGATATCAACATAAGAGAATACTGTAAGTGTGTCGCGTGGTGACAGTATGTCACACACTCAATACTCACTTGAATCAAAGTGGGGTCGAGCAGAAGCAATGATCATAGCAAGAGAGACGAATACAGCAGGGAGAATAATCTGGAAGACCAGACCTATCCAGTCTCTCCGCGTGTGGTGGACCCTGCAGTTAGCACATGGTAGGGGGGGGGGGGGGGGAATACTTATAGTCCACAACTGGGGGGCAATACTTATTGGTATCCACTAGTTGGGAACTTATCTGATTACTAAATCATCAAATTAACTATTCGAGCTTTTCATTTAGAATTAAAACAAGTCTTTCATATTTTGGAGCCAGACACCTGGTTACAGCACTTCCATCAATGTATCAAAACATCAATGAAATACGGCTATTAAGAGCAGTCAACCACGTGTTGTAGCGCGCTATGACGTCACATGAGGGAGCTATGACGTCACGCTAATAAGACCACGTGTTGTAGCGCGCTATGACGTCACGTGTTGTACAGTACCTCTTTAGTATCTGAGCGTGTATCTGTCTGCAGAATGAGGAGGGAGGTAGGTCCTGCTTACTAAGGGGGAGTAGTCCCGCATCCTCTCCCTCGTCATACTGCTCGTCCTTTGCATAGTCCTCGTCTGAAAGGAGGAGTAAAACAAGTTCAGTAGCAGCTATACAGGTTTTGAGAGGAGGAATAAAACAAGTTCAGTAGCAGCTACAAAGGTTTTGAGAGGAGGAATAAAACAAGTTCAGTAGCAGCTACATAGGTTTTGAGAGGAGGAGTAAAACAAGTTCAGTAGCAGCTACATAGGTTTTGGTGGGTGTAAGAAGTCAGCAGAGGAATAAAAAGGCGATCATAGGAGTTGGTGGTTTCAAGCTAAGTAATGTGATCTGAATTCTGATTTTAAGCGAGTTAGTGATAAATACATACAAGCGCCCTCTTCAACTTCCAAATCAGTCTGAAGTTGGGTAGAGCTGTTGTCGCCTAGCAACCCAGTAGTCTTATCAGCACCAGGTTTCTCAACATCAGCCACGCTCAAAAATACCTGCGAGATGAAGTTCAGGAAACTGCTAGAACAGATTGAGACTGGGTTGGGGAGATGGGTTGTGAGTTGAGGAGACTGGGTGGTGTGTCACGTGGGGAGAGGGGTTGTGAGTTGAGGAGACTGGGTGGTGTGTCACGTGGGGAGAAGGGTTGTGAGTTGAGGAGACTGGGTGGTGTGTAACGTGGGGAGAGGGGTTGTGAGTTTAGGAGACTGGGTGGTGTGTAACGTGGGGAGAGGGGTTGTGAGTTGAGGAGACTGGGTGGTGTGTCACGTGGGGAGAGGGGTTGTGAGTTGAGGAGACTGGGTGGTGTGTCACGTGGGGAGAGGGGTTGTGAGTTGAGGAGACTGGGTGGTGTGTCACGTGGGGAGAGGGGTTGTGAGTTGAGGAGACTGGGTGGTGTGTCACGTGGGGAGAGGGGTTGTGAGTTGAGGAGACTGGGTGGTGTGTCACGTGGGGAGAGGGGTTGTGAGTTGAGGAGACTGGGTGGTGTGTCACGTGGGGAGAGGGGTTGTGAGTTGAGGAGACTGGGTGGTGTGTCACGTGGGGAGAGGGGTTGTGAGTTGAGGAGACTGGGTGGTGTGTCACGTGGGGAGAGGGGTTGTGAGTTGAGGAGACTGGGTGGTGTGTCACGTGGGGAGAGGGGTTGTGAGTTGAGGAGACTGGGTGGTGTGTCACGTGGGGAGAGGGGTTGTGAGTTGAGGAGACTGGGTGGTGTGTCACGTGGGGAGAGGGGTTGTGAGTTGAGGAGACTGGGTGGTGTGTCACGTGGGGAGAGGGGTTGTGAGTTGAGGAGACTGGGTGGTGTGTCACGTGGGGAGAGGGGTTGTGAGTTGAGGAGACTGGGTGGTGTGTCACGTGGGGAGAGGGGTTGTGAGTTGAGGAGACTGGGTGGTGTGTCACGTGGGGAGAGGGGTTGTGAGTTGAGGAGACTGGGTGGTGTGTCACGTGGGGAGAGGGGTTGTGAGTTGAGGAGACTGGGTGGTGTGTCACGTGGGGAGAGGGGTTGTGAGTTGAGGAGACTGGGTGGTGTGTCACGTGGGGAGAGGGGTTGTGAGTTGAGGAGACTGGGTGGTGTGTCACGTGGGGAGAGGGGTTGTGAGTTGAGGAGACTGGGTGGTGTGTCACGTGGGGAGAGGGGTTGTGAGTTGAGGAGACTGGGTGGTGTGTCACGTGGGGAGAGGGGTTGTGAGTTGAGGAGACTGGGTGGTGTGTCACGTGGGGAGAGGGGTTGTGAGTTGAGGAGACTGGGTGGTGTGTCACGTGGGGAGAGGGGTTGTGAGTTGAGGAGACTGGGTGGTGTGTCACGTGGGGAGAGGGGTTGTGAGTTGAGGAGACTGGGTGGTGTGTCACGTGGGGAGAGGGGTTGTGAGTTGAGGAGACTGGGTGGTGTGTCACGTGGGGAGAGGGGTTGTGAGTTGAGGAGACTGGGTGGTGTGTCACGTGGGGAGAGGGGTTGTGAGTTGAGGAGACTGGGTGGTGTGTCACGTGGGGAGAGGGGTTGTGAGTTGAGGAGACTGGGTGGTGTGTCACGTGGGGAGAGGGGTTGTGAGTTGAGGAGACTGGGTGGTGTGTCACGTGGGGAGAGGGGTTGTGAGTTGAGGAGACTGCTAGAACAGTTTGTACTTACACAACCCTTACTGAACTGGTGCTCTCTTAACCTATTACTTACGCAACCCTTATTTACGTGGTGCTTTCTTTACCTATTAGTAAAGTACTTTACCTATCTAATATCTACTTACCTCCTCCAGAGTGCTGTCCATGACCCCGTAACACTTTATCCCCAGCTCGCTAGTCATCCCATCTAACTCCTTGAACAGGTCCGGGAACACCCCCCTCTGGAACGCCTCCCAAGGTAGCAGGTAACTAATCTCCTGATCGTTATTGTGGTGCACTGTTGCTCGGGGCACGTAGGTCTTTATCAGCCTGGGGAGGAACATGTTTAAATCTTGAAGCTTAAAGCAGTTCCGCTGGCAATCACTAAAAAATCGATGTAGAGGAAACCTCAGAACACATAAAATTAAAGATCATCAAACCTGGACAACTCGGAGTGGTTGTATTTGGCGCTCCTTATATGGGCATCACGTGTTTCTGTACTTTTCACTGACGCTTGGGAGAGAGTGACAGATGCTGTTGTAGAAGAATTCAGAACCTCGCTTGCCAAATACCCACTGTCTTCGTCTTCAAAATCTTCTGGATTTTCTTCAATTTCCACACCTGACAGGTTTATGTTATAACTCCAATACCATGGTTACAATACATGAATACCATGGTTACCATGGTTACCAATACCATGATTACAATACCATGGTTACAATACTCCAATACCATGGTAACAATTGATGCATCTTCTTTTTTTTGTAAATATCTAAAACTCTTACCAGAATCCTTTTCAATATTGAGGTAGTACCCAGGTCCAAATCGTGATTTCAGATACAGTGGTGATCCACAACACAGTAGTTGACCTGAGAAAAAGCTTCAATATTAACATTTTATTTCCGACAATTTGTATTGTGCCGGTTATAATTTGGTCTGGGGTTGGAAGTTTCACTGTAAGTTCAGCCGAAAACACTACACTAGTGCTTACCATGGGAAAGTATAGCGACTCTGTCTCCAAGCAGGTCAGCCTCGTCCATGTGGTGAGTGGAGAGGAGGATGGTTCTGTCTTGCTTGTGTTTTAGTACCATCTCCCAGATGCTGCGTCTAGACCAGGGGTCTACCTGATAATAGTAATATTATAACTATAAGTAACTAAATATTAGATAATATTAATATTATAACTATAAGTAATTAAATATTAGATAATATTAATATTATAACTATAAGTAACTAAATATTAGATAATATTAATATTATAACTATAAGTAACTAAATATTAGATAATATTAATTTTATAACTATAAGTAACTAAATATTAGATAATATTAATATTATAACCATAAGTAACTAAATATTAGATAATATTAATATTATAACTATATGTAACTAAATATTAGATAATATTAATATTAAAACTATAAGTAACTAAATGTTAAATAATATTAATATTAAAACTGTAAGTAACTAAATATTAAATAATATAACTAACTAACCCCAGCTGTGGGTTCATCTAAGATGATAATACGAGATCCACCCACAAACGCCATCGCCACACACAGCTTCCTTTTCATGCCACCTAATGGGTTTATTAATTAATGCATAATTGTGATAATTAATGAAATCTCTAATCTTAAGATAAAACAAATGATTAAAAAAATGTTTTGGTATACGTGGAAATACCAAACTTTTCGAAGACACAAAGTTTTATTTTTCAGATCTTTGCTTTTGAAAGTTTATTGATTAAAAAAAGTGTAAATTTACAACAAATCGTTAAGCAACAGGTTTTTACAAAATAAATTATGCGATTCTTTAACATACCAGAAAGGTTACTAGCGAAACAGGCAGCTTTATCAGCGAGCCCCACATTCTTCATGAAAGTGTCCACATCTTCTCTTACTTTAGAGGGCGGGGTTCTTTTGAGACTAGCAAAGAACCACAGGTGCTCCTCCACAGTCAGGTGTTCGAATAGAACGTTAAATTGGGGACATACCCCCAGATCTTGTCTTATCTACAGGGAATGTGTGATAAAGATAAGATATTTGCTTTGGAATGTGTGATAAAGGTAAGATATTTGCCCAACGAGCTGAGTGCTGTCAATGTTATATTTTACAAATTGTGCGCTTCATTTCCCGCGGCAATTGTGACGATTTAATTAATTTCCACTGCTAAAATGCACCACATGAAGAATTCGTCGTAAATTTTTTTGAAAAGCATTAATATATATGGACGCTGACATGTGTCTCTCAATAACAACGTGCCAAAGTGCACAACAACAAACAGTTTATGATCATATTATTAAAGTACCAACATGTTTCATATCTTTGCGGATATCTTTGCCGTAAACAGTAGCAGTGCCAGTAGTAGGAGGGTACAGTCCACTGATTATACTCATTGTGGTTGTTTTACCTGCCCCATTGTGGCCCAGTAGTGTCAGTATCTGGGTTATGACGTCATAATTAATTATATTATTAGTATAATAACGTCATTAACATATTTTCTAATTATACATTAATAAAAATGACATAATTTCATCTCGTTTCCCTCTTATTATTGTATACTTCAAAACATGCACAGCAAACACAAATATGGGGTGTACTACATTAATAAAATGTAACTTTTAAAAAAACCAAAAATTTTATGAAGGAGCAGTATAATATGTACAGACCTGATTCTCGTAGAGATCCAGTGATAGCCCACTCAGAGCAGGGCGGCTCATTCCCTTGTACTTCTTAGTCAGGTTACAGATAGAGATACCACACGTGACATTATCAGGTGGTCTCTCAATGTCCGCCTCACATGTGTGCCCTGTAGTATGTGTAATATGTGTAATATGTGTAATATGTGTAATATGTGTAATATGTGTAATATGTGTAATATGTGTAATATGTGTAATATGTGTAATATGTGTAATATGTGTAATATGTGTAATAATTGTAGAGTGTAGCTTTAATTTTTGCATTAAGATATGACTGCAAAAATGGTTCTATTTAGAAATCTCCAACACGTTTTCTTCTATTCTGATGATTTTTCATTTATCAGAGTTTTCTTTGATAATCAAACATTCAGCATCTCAGTGGTCTCTTGTACCATCTACGTTTAAGTTTGTGGTGTCTTGTGCCTCCCACGTTTAAGTTTGTGGTGTCTTGTGCCATCAAAATTTAAGTTTATTCCGAATTTCACTATAACTGTCCGCAGTAAAACACAAACCCTTACTCACATGGACGGAAGGTTTAAAAAAATATTTTAATTTTCAGGCGAATGTTGAAACATAATATGCCGTGATGAGGTATGAGGTATGAGGTATGTGGTGTGATGAGGAAGGATTAGAATAATTTACGGACATCTTTAAATGTTATTGGTCATCTTTAAATGTTATTGGTCACTCAGAGCTATTTGAGGTTTTAATATTTCCTGTGAATGCAGACCACCTCGTGCGAGGTGATTAAATTCCCAAGTCAGAGAAGAAGAATAATATCCAGAGTCCAGACATTGTGGCCGCGGAAGTCGGCAGGGGTCGGTCACTAGGTGTCAAAGGTGGAAAAGGTGTTAGTTGTTGGAATAGCCAGCTCCCAGAATATTCGTCTCAACATAAAGTGGGGTCAAGGCTCCTCTTGCATCTCATTAAATTTCTGGTTTTATTTGTCGTGCTTTCTTCGAGATTATTTTTTTTTTTATTTGAAAATTCAATTAATCATTATATATATAAATTAAGCGTTACATTTCAGCCATGCAAAATTACAATGACATATTTTGATATACTTAATGGTAAATGGTACTGCAATATAAGTTGCTTAATGTTTGGCCGGATGACAACTAACGAGAAAAATAAACTTGATTATATAATAATTAATTCGGCTGAACCAACACATAGCAAGAGCCACATTAACGTTGGGGCCGTTGGGGCTATATATATAGCGGGGGATCGAGGGCAGATACTTACCGTTTGTGGCCTTGATGTCCCCTCTTAGAGCAATGAGTTAGTTAGTCAGTGGCGATAACACAGTGGACGTTTCCGAACTTCCAGCCATTATCGTTAGTGGGTTATTTGATTTTTGTGGATAGATCAAATTAATCACAAAATAATCGGACTAAATTATATTAACCGTCCCCAACTGACACGAATTGTGCTATTTTGGTTGCTCCTAATCTTCTCTTTCTCGATTTAATTAAATCGAAGATAATTTCTGAACATTGGTGCTGACTGCAAATTTTCTCTAGAAAGATTCATTTCTCACAATTTGTTTATTGTTTAGTAACCCGAAAAAAGTGTGAAAGATCTCCAAAATGAAGTTGCTCCTAACTGCACTGCTAGTGTGCATATGCAGTGTGGCAGCACAAGACTACGCTGAACCTCATGAAGTAGTCTGGGATCCTGCAGGTGAAGAAGTTGTCAGGGATCCCGCAGTTGAAGAAGATTACTACACAAACAGGCGTGGGTCCAGACAAACCACGGAGCCGAGACCAGTAAGACAAATGCTGGGAGTGAACCGTTGGCAAATAATTAATATTGTGGACTCAGAGGTCCATGAAGAGGGAGTCAAATATAGGTTTGATGATGACGTTATCGAGCGTGTGAGAGAGGACGTGATCCCAGAGCTGTGTTACTTGACTTCAGATAACATCACCTTCGGCAACTCCTTCCTGTTGGATAAAAACTGCCTGGAAGAATTTGAGAGTGTCAGCCCTCAGTGCCTTGGATTCAAATGTGATCTCGCTCACTACTTCCTGGAACACGGAGCACAGATATTCACAGACTTCTTCAACGCCACCGATTACAAGGAGGGCATGGAAATAATCCGCAGGGAGGTGTCAACTGCATTCGAGAAGTTGGACGTGTGTACCTGCGGCAGAGAGTTCTTCAAAGCTACATTCAAATGTGCCCCATTGTAAGTTTCATGGTTGTTATAATTATTGGATATAAAGATATAATGAGCGTAGTGATTAGCAACAAGCAAGGAACAACCATGAATATTTGTAGCACTACAGGTTCTAGTAATATGACATGTAGCTGTGTACCCAGTAACGATGGTAACACACTATAGTTATATAACAAATATGGCCTCATATATAATGCTTGTTTCCCTAACAAACAATATAATATTAACCAATTAATGAACTTTTCAGCTACTACGCCAATGCCCTATCTTTTGCAATACCCTCTAACTATAATTTGGCAAATTTCGGAAGGATCGCGAGAAGTGTGGACGCTAAATCGGTAAGAAATTAAAAACATGTAATAAAAAATAACAAGAATTGCGCCCGTTGTTTCGTTTTGGCGGACGCTAGATTTCCATTTCACATTTACTATAAATTTAAGTATAAGCTCCAATCAGCTCATTTCAATCTTCATGATCTGATAATGATATTGATAAATTATGCATCAAATACGGCAAACACTTAAAATTCAGTTCAATTGCCGTAGAACTTAACTAGGGGGTGCACGATAAAAATAAACTTGCTCGGATTTTAAAAATTGTTGTACCACTGTTTTCTAGAGACTGTGAGAATTTTCACAATACCAAATTTGTCATACCTATCTGGAAAGATCAGTGAGTTTCGCCAAGGTGCCATATTTGATGGTGCGCGGCTTTTGGAGCAAAAGTAGCTGTAAAAGTCGCGTAATTTGACCAAATTCGTCCAAATTTGACCATTTTTGTCGTATTATTCGGATTTATCTTCAGTTCCTTAAATGAGATCATTCTGGAAATTGGCTACGACCTTCCAATAAGGCTTTTACAACTGTCCGAAAAATTTGGTGGATATCGGAGTTGATATAGTGATAAAAATGGGGCAAAATACGCTGCTTTTAGCTGTAACATAATGTCTGATGGTTGGATATGCTTTAAATTTTTCGGACACTTTCCTTGTAACTTACAAGGAAAGTGTCCGAAAAATTTAAGACTGACAAGTTGTAAGTCTATGAGTAAGCTTACCAATTTTTGTTGCAATTGGAGGTCGGGAAGGATACTCAATATCTATTTGATTAAAGAAAATTGTGCTGGCCGAAATTAGCGCTAAAAAACCATCCTACAGTCGGCACGCGCGGCTCACTGTCGATGGCGCACTACCTAACTTAACTTGTATCTGTAATTCAAGAAATTATCAGCCAAGGTAAAACTAAACTATACTCGTGTACACATCAATACACCACGCGTGCCACTTACAAATTGAGCATATTACCTAATAGTAATATTATACATTACATGCATCATATACATTAAAACACAGTCGCGCCGCGCATTCATAGATCACAGGCTATCTAGACAGTATACATCACATCTCCACAAGCAATCCTCGCGCGCGCAACGTTTTCGTTGCATGGAAACGGACGTAAGGAAGGAAGGACACACGACATATTTAAACACACCTATCTCGTTCTCCAAAATCCACGTTTTTCTGCAAAAACCTCCATTTGTAACCTTTCACTATTGCCTTTTTTCAAGAGGGTGAAAAGGAAAAAATAAAACTGGTTTTATAAGGGCCTGTCAGACGTTGCATCTAGCTCTAGCGTATCGACCATTTTGAATAACAGTTGTACTTTTATTTATATTTTTTGGTTTATATAAACATATTATTTAATCATAATAATAATATTGTTTATGATAATATCCCGCAGGCAGGCAGGTTCTTCGACAGATTGCTAGCGGGAGTGTGCGAGGAAACCAGCAGTGGAATATGCCTCAACTCTATCCTCAGTGCTTTGCAGGAGCTGGTAGAAATGGGTGTGAACACTGTTGAGGATTTCGACGATTACGATAACGGTGACAGAAAGCACCAGAAGAAACAAGAAAAACGTTGTGACGCTATGTTTGGCCCCTACCGCGCCTGGGTGAAAGACGGCCGGGACCCAACCGACTTCTCTTTGGGAGAGGAGCAGTTTTGGGAGGTAATGCTGAACATGACCGCCAAGACAACCAACGCTTTATACTGTGAGAAGAAGTGCAAGAAGGACAGAGGTGTCTTGTATCCGTGTTGCCTGAGGAGAATGCTGGAGGATCAGAGTAGGTGAAAGTGGGTTAGATTTTGGATGTGCAAATCTGTTTTGACACGTGATATGATAAGTGATATGACACGTGCCATTGTTGACTCCTAATTTTAGTCCACCTTAATCCTGCAGGGCCGCACTTCTTGCTCTGAAATCTTTAATAAACTAATATAGATACTTACGTCTTACATACATTATGGTCCGACAACATGGTTTCTCAGCTCCAGGATTGAAATTATAATCCTTTAATTTCTATACTAATGTAACCCGTGCCTACGACCGGGACTTCACTATCGCAGTTGAATTACAGAAGTATAAACAGTGCAAAACTTAAAATTGTGCAAAACTATAAATTCGCTCAGTTGAAACCGACCTCATTAGAGTAAATTTAATTCTGAGCTGTAAATGGGTAGAAAGATTGAGAGAGAGAGAGAGAGAGAGAGTGTGAGAGAGGGACAAAAAGTGAGTCACTTTAATATCACATTTGCAGTACAAAACCATCAATTAAACCGATTACCATCGGTCGAGTTAAAGAAATATACCGGAAAAACCAGTCCCACAAATCTTACCGTTTTCTTGATTGGGATATTGCAAACTTACATTTTACACACACACACACACCCACATTTATTGAGATTATTAGAATTGATAAATATATACGCTACTACTGTTATTATATAATATAGCTACTGTATCCACAGAATTGTTCGACAACGTTGAGAAAGTGATTGAAAGTGTGTACAAGCTCATTCCTATCTTCGACATTCAATACGACGACTTTTACGAGTTAGTAATAGTAAAAAATACATCAAATTTAAGAGATATACTATAATAATTGAAATAATTATGATAATTATATAATCAAATTATATAAAATGATACGAGAATTCATCAACAACATTTTCTCCAACTATAGAATTGACACGATGAGTATCAATCTAGAGGAGATAGAAGAGATCGCCTCCTGGACAGTCCCTGCAAACCTTCGCGACGCCTTTATGAGGACAGTACACGCTGCTAAATATTGCGAGGTAGGTTGTGTTTATGAGGACAGTACACGCTGCTAAATATTGCGAGGTAGGTTGTGTTTATGAGGACAGTACACGATGCTAAATATTGCGAGGTAGGTTGTGTTTATGAGGACAGTACACGCTGCTAAATATTGCGAGGTAGGTTGTGTTTATGAGGACAGTACACGCTGCTAAATATTGCGAGGTAGGTTGTGTTTATGAGGACAGTACACGCTGCTAAATATTGCGAGGTAGGTTGTGTTTATGAGGACAGTACACGCTGCTAAATATTGCGAGGTAGGTTGTGTTTATGAGGACAGTACACGCTGCTAAATATTGCGAGGTAGGTTGTGTTTATGAGGACAGTGCACGCTGCTAAATATTGCGAGGTAGGTTGTGTTTATGAGGACAGTACACGCTGCTAAATATTGCGAGGTAGGTTGTGTTTATGAGGACAGTACACGCTGCTAAATATTGCGAGGTAGGTTGTGTTTATGAGGACAGTACACGCTGCTAAATATTGCGAGGTAGGTTGTGTTTATGAGGACAGTACACGCTGCTAAATATTGCGAGGTAGGTTGTGTTTATGAGGACAGTGCACGCTGCTAAATATTGCGAGGTAGGTTGTGTTTATGAGGACAGTACACGCTGCTAAATATTGCGAGGTAGGTTGTGTTTATGAGGACAGTACACGCTGCTAAATATTGCGAGGTAGGTTGTGTTTATGAGGACAGTGCACGCTGCTAAATATTGCGAGGTAGGTTGTGTTTATGAGGACAGTACACGCTGCTAAATATTGCGAGGTAGGTTGTGTTTATGAGGACAGTACACGCTGCTAAATATTGCGAGGTAGGTTGTGTTTATGAGGACAGTACACGCTGCTAAATATTGCGAGGTAGGTTGTGTTTATGAGGACAGTGCACGCTGCTAAATATTGCGAGGTAGGTTGTGTTTATGAGGACAGTACACGCTGCTAAATATTGCGAGGTAGGTTGTGTTTATGAAGACAGTGCACGCTGCTAAATATTGCGAGGTAGGTTGTGTTTATGAGGACAGTACACGCTGCTAAATATTGCGAGGTAGGTTGTGTTTATGAGGACAGTACACGCTGCTAAATATTGCGAGGTAGGTTGTGTTTATGAGGACAGTACACGCTGCTAAATATTGCGAGGTAGGTTGTGTTTATGAGGACAGTACACGCTGCTAAATATTGCGAGGTAGGTTGTGTTTATGAGGACAGTACACGCTGCTAAATATTGCGAGGTAGGTTGTGTTTATGAGGACAGTACACGCTGCTAAATATTGCGAGGTAGGTTGTGTTTATGAGGACAGTACACGCTGCTAAATATTGCGAGGTAGGTTGTGTTTATGAGGACAGTACACGCTGCTAAATATTGCGAGGTAGGTTGTGTTTATGAGGACAGTACACGCTGCTAAATATTGCGAGGTAGGTTGTGTTTATGAGGACAGTACACGCTGCTAAATATTGCGAGGTAGGTTGTGTTTATGAGGACAGTACACGCTGCTAAATATTGCGAGGTAGGTTGTGTTTATGAGGACAGTACACGCTGCTAAATATTGCGAGGTAGGTTGTGTTTATGAGGACAGTACACGCTGCTAAATATTGCGAGGTAGGTTGTGTTTATGAGGACAGTACACGCTGCTAAATATTGCGAGGTAGGTTGTGTTTATGAGGACAGTACACGCTGCTAAATATTGCGAGGTAGGTTGTGTTTATGAGGACAGTACACGCTGCTAAATATTGCGAGGTAGGTTGTGTTTATGAGGACAGTACACGCTGCTAAATATTGCGAGGTAGGTTGTGTTTATGAGGACAGTACACGCTGCTAAATATTGCGAGGTAGGTTGGGTTTATGAGGACAGTACACGCTGCTAAATATTGCAAGGTAGGTTGTGTTTATGAGGACAGTACACGCTGCTAAATATTGTGAGGTAGGTTGTGTTTATGAGGACAGTACACGCTGCTAAATATTGCGAGGTAGGTTGTGTTTATGAGGACAGTACACGCTGCTAAATATTGCGAGGTAGGTTGTGTTTATGAGGACAGTACACGCTGCTAAATATTGCGAGGTAGGTTGTGTTTATGAGGACAGTACACGCTGCTAAATATTGCGAGGTAGGTTGTGTTTATGAGGACAGTACACGCTGCTAAATATTGCGAGGTAGGTTGTGTTTATGAGGACAGTACACGCTGCTAAATATTGCGAGGTAGGTTGTGTTTATGAGGACAGTACACGCTGCTAAATATTGCGAGGTAGGTTGTGTTTATGAGGACAGTACACGCTGCTAAATATTGCGAGGTAGGTTGTGTTTATGAGGACAGTACACGCTGCTAAATATTGCGAGGTAGGTTGTGTTTATGAGGACAGTACACGCTGCTAAATATTGCGAGGTAGGTTGTGTTTATGAGGACAGTACACGCTGCTAAATATTGCGAGGTAGGTTGTGTTTATGAGGACAGTACACGTTGCTAAATATTGCGAGGTAGGTTGTGTTTATGAGGACAGTACACGCTGCTAAATATTGCGAGGTAGGTTGTGTTTATGAGGACAGTACACGCTGCTAAATATTGCGAGGTAGGTTGTGTTTATGAGGACAGTACACGCTGCTAAATATTGCGAGGTAGGTTGTGTTTATGAGGACAGTACACGCTGCTAAATATTGCGAGGTAGGTTGTGTTTATGAGGACAGTACACGCTGCTAAATATTGCGAGGTAGGTTGTGTTTATGAGGACAGTACACGCTGCTAAATATTGCGAGGTAGGTTGTGTTTATGAGGACAGTACACGCTGCTAAATATTGCGAGGTAGGTTGTGTTTATGAGGACAGTACACGCTGCTAAATATTGCGAGGTAGGTTGTGTTTATGAGGACAGTACACGCTGCTAAATATTGCGAGGTAGGTTGTGTTTATGAGGACAGTACACGCTGCTAAATATTGCAAGGTAGGTTGTGTTTATGAGGACAGTACACGCTGCTAAATATTGCAAGGTAGGTTGTGTTTATGAGGACAGTACACGCTGCTAAATATTGCAAGGTAGGTTGTGTTTATGAGGACAGTGCACGCTGCTAAATATTACGAGGTAGATTGTGTTTATGAGGACAGTACACGCTGCTAAATATTGCGAGGTAGGTTGTGTTTATGAGGACAGTACACGCTGCTAAATATTGCGAGGTAGGTTGTGTTTATGAGGACAGTGCACACTGCTAAATATTGCGAGGTAGGTTGTGTTTATGAGGACAGTACACGCTGCTAAATATTGCGAGGTAGGTTGTGTTTATGAGGACAGTACACGCTGCTAAATATTGCGAGGTAGGTTGTGTTTATGAGGACAGTGCACGCTGCTAAATATTGCGAGGTAGGTTGTGTTTATGAGGACAGTACACGCTGCTAAATATTGCGAGGTAGGTTGGGTTTATGAGGACAGTGCACGCTGCTAAATATTGCGAGGTAGGTTGTGTTTATGAGGACACTACACACTGCTAAATATTGCGAGGTAGGTTGTGTTTATGAGGACAGTACACGCTGCTAAATATTGCGAGGTAGGTTGTGTTTATGAGGACAGTACACGCTGCTAAATATTGCGAGGTAGGTTGTGTTTATGAAGACAGTACACGCTGCTAAATATTGCGAGGAAGTTGTGTTTATGAGGACAGTACACGCTGCTAAATATTGCGAGGTAGGTTGTGTTTATGAAGACAGTGCACGCTGCTAAATATTGCGAGGTAGGTTGTGTTTATGAGGACAGTACACGCTGCTAAATATTGCGAGGTAGGTTGTGTTTATGAGGACAGTACACGCTGCTAACTATTGCGAGGTAGGTTGTGTTTATGAGGACAGTACACGCTGCTAAATATTGCGAGGTAGGTTGTGTTTATGAGGACAGTACACACTGCTAAATATTGCGAGGTAGGTTGTGTTTATGAGGACAGTACACGCTGCTAAATATTGCGAGGTAGGTTGTTTAACCTTTTAACTTAAGAATTGGTAGAATTTGAGATTTTGTTAGAACTAGAAGCTATAAAATTTAATTATCATATTGCTTTCAGGGAAAGATCGTTCAGTGCTCCAACTAGTTTCGTTTATGCAGAGATGTACTCGTACTTTTATGACTCCGAAATGAATATCAAACTTAAAATTTTATTCAACAGTCAGACTATCAGATATTTACTATTACGTACATTTTCAAGCTTTTTTTAAAGAACCTAACAGTAACCAATGGCTATTTATATTATAATTATATTGTATATTGGTTTTTTTTACCATTGGAAATTTATTTCGCCAACTATGTTTTTTTTAATTCGTTTTTCTTGCAAATATCAAAAAAAATAGATCGAAACTGTGAAGATTTGCTCAAGGAAACGGCAGAAAAACTTTTATTCAAAAATAGTTTCCATAATACTCAAAGCTTTTCATAATATTAACAAACTCCGAGAGACTCAGAGACAAGTGCTAACGTCCTGGCACAGGTGTGCCCTGTAGTATGTGTAATATGTGTATAATATGTGTAATATGTGTAATATGTGTAATATGTGTAATATGTGTAATATGTGTAATATGTGTAATATATGTGTAATATGTGTAATATGTGTAATATGTGTATAATATGTGTAATATGTGTAATAAGTGCTAACCTGGCAGTTCGAATGAGTTGTGCCTGTTTCTGGTGGGGGAGGGGTGTCTGCACCAAAACATGAACTTTAACGGGAAATACCAGGGTTTGGGCACTCCATATCTCCCCGGGAAAACACCCTGTTTTTAGTTTTACAATTATAACGTGTTTTTAAATAATAGAGATTCAACATAATTTGTGTATTAGCTGGCCTGAAGTGAAAGAAAACAATTAATGTGAAAGAAAACCTCAATGTAGAGCGCTAAAAGGAAGTATATGATAGCATCTCCAATCAGAGCGAGAAAACACTTCACCATGTTATACTCGTCTGTGGGAAACTGAAAATTCAAAATATCAAGTGACAATTTCAGGCTTTTAAAAATAATCGAAATCTTGATTTCGTTACGTTACATTAAAAAGTTAAAAGCGCTGTGCTTATGAATTTTAAAATTTTTAAAAATTGGGTGAATCGCCGTTAAAAATTCAGTTCTACCTATGTTTTTGACAAAAAGAAGCATCAATAAGTAGTGGTTAAAAACATTCCAGGTTTTTTAAAATCGTCAAAATCTTGACCATGTTATGTAGCACTGAGCTAATATATTATTTAAAAATTGGGCGAATTGAAAATTCAGCTCTGATTTTGACAGGAAGAAGCATAAATTAATTATGGCTTATACTAATTAACAATAAGCAAAATACGTTGATTACGAACAAAAGTAACTGACCACGCCCTGATTGAGGGTGTGCCAACGCAGTCCCACTCCTTGTTCCTCGAATCGCACTATGTACTCCGTACCCATGCCAAACGCACTCGTGCTAAACAAACTCTGTAATTAAATGTAATGTTACTTTTGGCCCCATTTTATGTTACTTTTATGTAAACATTTTTTAGATGAATTCCGCCTTAAGGACAATTTAGATTAATATTGTTCCTCGTATCATTATCATATTCGCTCCACTTACCACTACAGATTTACCCCACTTACCACTATAGATTTGCTCCACTTATCACTACAGATTTGCCCCACTTACCACTACAGATTTGCTCCACTTACCACTAAAGATTTGCCCCACTTACCACTACAGATTTGCCTCACTTACCACCACAGATTTGCCCCACTTACCACTACAGATTTGCCACACTTACCACTACAGATTTGCCCCACTTACCACTACAGATTTGCTCCACTTCTCTCTCTCTCTGGTTTGGTCAACGGTTTCTGGCCTCCTAGTGAAGAGGGAGGCCTTGTGAAGAGGGAGGAGATTTGCTCCACTTACCACTACAGATTTGCTCCACTTACCACTAAAGATTTGCCTCACTTACCACTACAGATTTGCTCCACTTACCAATACAGATTTGCTCCACTTACCACTACAGATTTGCTCTACTTACCACTACAGATTTGCCCCACTTACCACTACAGATTTGCCCCACTTACCACTACAGATTTGCTCTACTTACCACTACAGATTTGCCCCACTTACCACTACAGATTTGCCCCACTTACCACTACAGATTTGCTCTACTTACCACTACAGATTTGCTCCACTAACCACTACAGATTTGCTCCACTTACCACTACAGATTTGCTCCAGTTACCACTACAGATTTGCTCTACTTACCACTACATATTTACCCTACTTACCACTACAGATTTGCCCCACTTACCACTACAGATTTGGTCTACTTACCACTACAGATTTGCCCCACTTACCACTACAGATTTGCTCTACTTACCACTACAGATTTGCCCCACTTACCACTACAGATTTGCTCTACTTACCACTACAGATTTGCCCCACTTACCACTACAGATTTGCTCTACTTACCACTACAGATTTGCTCCACTAACCACTACAGATTTGCTCCGCTTACCACTACAGATTTGCTCTACTTACCACTACAAATTCGCTCCACTTACCACTACAGATTTGCTCTACTTACCACTACAGATTTACCCTACTTACCACTACAGATTTGCTCTACTTACCACTACAGATTTGCTCCACTAACCACTACAGATTTGCTCCACTTACCACTACAGATTTGCTCTACTTACCACTACAAATTCGCTCCACTTACCACTACAGATTTGCTCTACTTACCACTACAGATTTACCCTACTTACCACTACAGATTTGCTCCACTTACCACTACAGATTTGCCTCACTAACCACTACAGATTCGCTCCACTTACCACTACAGATTTGCTCCACTTACCACTAAAGATTTGCTCCACTTACCACTACAGATTTGCTCCACTTACCACTACAGATTTGCTCCACTTACCACTACAGATTTGCCTCACTAACAACTACAGATTTACCCCACTTACCACTACAGATTTACCCCACTTACCACTAAAGATTTGATCCACTTACCACTACAGATTTGCCCCACTTACCACTACAGATTTGCCCCACTTACCACTACAGATTTGCCTCACTAACAACTACAGATTTACCCCACTTACCACTACAGATTTACCCCACTTACCACTACAGATTTTCCCCACTTACCACTACAGATTTGCTCCACTTACCACTACAGATTTACCCTACTTACCACTACAGATTTGCCTCACTAACAACTACAGATTTACCCTACTTACCACTACAGATTTACCCTACTTATCACTACAGATTTGCCTCACTTACCACTACAGATTTGCCTCACTAACAACTACAGATTTACCCCACTTACCACTACAGATTTACCCCACTTACCACTACAGATTTTCCCCACTTACCACTACAGATTTTCCCCACTTACCACTACAGATTTGCTCCACTTACCACTACAGATTTACCCTACTTACCACTACAGATTTGCTCCACTTACCACTACAGATTTACCCCACTTACCACTACAGATTTACCCCACTTACCACTACAGATTTGATCCACTTACCACTACAGATTCGCTCCACTTACCACTAAAGATTTGCTCCACTTACCACTACATATTCGCTCCACTTACCACTACAGATTTGCTCCACTTACCACTACAGATTTGCTCCACTTACCACTACAGATTTGCTCCGCTTACCACTACAGATTTGCCTTACTTACCACTACAGATTTGCCCCACTTACCACTAAAGATTTGCTCCACCTACCACTACAGATTTGCCCCACTTACCACTACAGATTTAACCTACTTACCACTAAAGATTTGCCCCACTTACCACTACAGATTTAACCTACTTACCACTACAGATTTGCTCCACTTACCACTACAGATTTGCCCCACTCACCACTACAGATTTGCTCCACTTACCACTAAAGATTTGCTCCACTAACCACTACAGATTTGCTCCACTTACCACTACAGATTTGCTCCACTTACCACTACAGATTTACCCCACTTACCACTACAGATTTGCTCCACTTACCACTACAGATTTACCCCACTTACCACTACAGATTTGCTCCACTAACCACTACAGATTCGCTCCACTTACCACTACAGATTTGCTCCGCTTACCACTACAGATTTGCCTTACTTACCACTACAGATTTGCCCCACTTACCACTAAAGATTTGCTCCACCTACCACTACAGATTTGCCCCACTTACCACTACAGATTTAACCTACTTACCACTAAAGATTTGCCCCACTTACCACTACAGATTTAACCTACTTACCACTACAGATTTTCCCCACTTACCACTACAGATTTAACCTACTTACCACTACAGATTTGCTCCACTTACCACTACAGATTTGCCCCACTTACCACTACAGATTTGCTCCACTTACCACTACAGATTTGCTCACTTACCACTACAGATTTGCCTCACTTACCACTACAGATTTGCTCCACTTACCACTACAGATTTGCTCCACTTACCACTAAAGATTTGCTCCACCTACCACTACAGATTTGCCCCACTTACCACTACAGATTTAACCTACTGACCACTAAAGATTTGCCCCACTTACCACTACAGATTTAACCTACTTACCACTACAGATTTTCCCCACTTACCACTACAGATTTAACCTACTTACCACTACAGATTTGCTCCACTTACCACTACAGATTTGCCCCACTCACCACTACAGATTTGCTCCACTTACCACTACAGATTTGCCTCACTTACCACTACAGATTTGCCTCACTTACCACTACAGATTTGCTCCACTAACCACTACAGATTTGCTCCACTTACCACTAAAGATTTTCCTCACTTACCACTACAGATTTGCCCCAGTTACCCACGCCTCCGTCACTCTGAGAGATGCACGTGTATGGCAGATACATCACAATGTAGACTAGTCCTGAACCTGCTGCTGCCAACTTCGCTTCACTGAAAATCACATGAGCAGATTACACTTGTGTCACACAGATTACTGTACGACATGTAATTGGAATGAGAATATGATGATATATGAACAAGATTAAACGAGTTGTTGTGACAGACTAAAATAAAGCCTCCTGATTGGTTAGTCTAGGTCACGTGACTAGAATAAAGCCTCCTGATTGGTTAGTTTCGGTCACGTGACTAGAATAAAGTCTCCTGATTGGTTAGTTTAGGTCACGTGACTAGAATAAAGCCTCCTGATTAGTTAGTTTAGGTCACGTTACTAGAATAAAGCCTCCTGATTGGTTACCTGAAGAAAACGCTGAGCAGAAAGCAGAAGCTGACGGTTGCTAACGCTCCAGCGTGAAAGAATAACCATAGCAACAGTGGGTCACTGTGACGCAGTATGTTACCTGAGAACCAAATTACTCATCAATTATGTTAGACAGAGACCGTCTTAAAATAACATTTTTGGAATATTTGTCTCAATGATGAAATTTTATTGCCATTCTTGCAATGGGGTACGTGAAATTCTATTGAAACCGTTTTATGTTTAAAGGACGAACTAATATTTTCACAGTATGAATCTCACCAAAGAACAGGATGGCTACAAGCATTGTAGATGTTAGACTCATCTGCAGCATACTAGTAATGAACCACGAGCACCAATGCACTGAGTTACTCAGACCCATCTGTAATAAGTTAATTAATTAATTGATTAATTGATTAGTTAATCAAGTAACAAAATTAAAACAACTGACGTTATTGATCATTGGTAAATGATTAATTTGTAATAAATAATAGATCACTTTTAGATTGTCCAATTAAACCCCAAATTAATATTACGAGTCACTTCCCCGCCTATATCTACTATTTTTAAATAAAAAATTAATTCATTGAATTTAAAGAATTTAAAGAATTTGTTTAAATGAAAAATAAAAAGTACCTAGTGTGACTAACCTACTAACCATTCATTAATCAACCAATTAATTAATGAATTGATTAATCAACTAATTAATTAATTATTTAGACTAACCTGTTGCATGGCCTCCCTTATTCTCATCTCCTTCTCATGAACCACGTTCCTCACAATAACACACACGCTGTAGATGAAGCTTACACACAGAGCCATGGGTAGTACCATTATTGAGTTCTTCAGAAACCTGGAGAAACAGGACTATTACCATGGTTACCCTGGTTACCCTGGTTACCCTGGTTACCCTGGTTACCCTGGTTACCCTGGTTACCCTGGTTACCCTGGTTACCCTGGTTACCCTGGTTACCCTGGTTACCCTGGTTACCCTGGTTACCCTGGTTACCCTGGTTACCCTGGTTACCCTGGTTACCCTGGTTACCCTGGTTACCCTGGTTACCCTGGTTACCCTGGTTACCCTGGTTACCCTGGTTACCCTGGTTACCCTGTTTACCCTGGTTACCCTGGTTACCCTGGTTACCCTGGTTACCCTGGCTACCCTGGTTACCATGGTTACCCTGGCTACCCTGGTTACCCTGGTTACCCTGGTTACCCTGGTTACCCTGGTTACCCTGGTTACCCTGGTTACCCTGGTTACCCTGGTTACCCTGGTTACCCTGGTTACCCTGGTTACCCTGGTTACCCTGGTTACCCTGGTTACCCTGGTTACCCTGGTTACCCTGGTTACCCTGGTTACCCTGGTTACCCTGGTTACCCTGGTTACCCTGGTTACCCTGGTTACCCTGGTTACCCTGGTTACCCTGGTTACCCTGGTTACCCTGGTTACCCTGGTTACCCTGGTTACCCTGGTTACCCTGGTTACCCTGGTTACCCTGGTTACCCTGGTTACCCTGGTTACCCTGGTTACCCTGGTTACCCTTTAGTTAACTATAACTAACGTATCTAGGTAACTATAACTCACGCGTCCCAGCAATGACAAGGGTAAGGTATTTCCTGTATGTAACTGGCAGGTAGAACTTGAGTGGTAGTGATCCCCGCCCTCTCTTCTTGTAGTGCGATTATTGACCTGTCTACTATATCCTGAGAGAGAATTTAGACTGGTGTTACCCTGGTTACCCTTGTGTTACCCTGGTTACCCTTGTATTACCCTGGTAACCCTGGCATTACCCTAGTTACCCTGGTATTACCCTGGTTACCCTGGTTACCCTTGTATTACCCTGGTAATCCTGGCATTACCCTAGTTACCCTGGTATTACCCTGGTTACCCTGGTTACCCTTGTATTACCCTGGTTACCCTGGTTACCCTGGTATTACCCTGGTATTACCCTGGTAACCCTGGCATTACCCTGGTTACCCTGGTATTACCCTGGTTACCCTGGTTACCCTTGTATTACCCTGGTTACCCTGGCATTACCCTAGTTACCCTGGTATTACCCTGGTTACCCTGGTATTACCCTGGTTACCCGGGTATAATACCCTGGTTACCCAGGTATAATACCCTGGTTACCCTGGTATTGCCCTGGTTACCCTGGTATTACCCTGGTTACCCTGGTATTACCCTGGTTACCCTGGTTACCCTGGTATTACCCTGGTTACCCTGGTATTACCCTGGTTGCCCTGTTATTACCCTGGTTACCCGGGTATAATACCCTGGTTACCCAGGTATAGTACCCTGGTTACCCAGGTATAGTACCCTGGTTACCCTGGCATTACCCTGGTTACCCTGGTATTACCCTGGTTACCCAGGTATAATACCCTGGTTACCCTGGTATTACCCTGATAACCAGGGTAATACAAAAAACAACCAACCTGCAGGAAGACAAAGCCGGACCACTCGTAGCGTCTGTGAGAGAAGCCATTAAGAGGGTTAGGGGACCAGAACCTCTCTGCTATCTCCCCAGTACCCACCTTCAGTTCTCCTAGTAGTTTAGTATTTTAGATTCATTTAATAAATGATATTTATTTATTAATTTAATATTTAATTATTGACACTAACTAGAGGAAAAGACTGTTGGAACGAATAAACATATCTATTATTATATATTTACGTCTTCAGTTTACAAATCATTGAAACACAAACATACTATGCGGGGGGACTACAGACCCCCTCAAAGTCCTTTACAACGTTACTGCCAGGTTACATAGCACTGAAAGTGAAAATCAATATCATCAGAAATTCAAATTCAAAGCAATGCCGTCATAGTATTACAAAGCCCCAAAACGCAACAATGCTTCAAACTCTATTATAACATGAGCATGCAAATAACATAAATCATCTAAAAACTGAAAAGGGTAAAATAAAATAAGAATATAAACTAGGTCAACTAAATAGTACTAATTATACAACAACTCATCTCACCAAAGAGATCCCTAGACACGCACGAAATAACTCAAATAATGTAAATAAGGTGAAAATAGGAACTCAATCTAGGTTCCAGGTACAACCACACGCGGGAAGCGTGAGCCGAAGAGAAAAGGCACATTACACTCAAGATTCAAGGTCCAAATTAATAAAAGCGATATATGAAGGACAAACAAATATGAACTACTCCAACATATCAACAGTCTACACATTCCTAATCAAATATTTTGATAACACGATCGTAAATATCTACCCCAAATTTACACCAGATATTAAGTTTAGAATTGTAAAACTTCAAAAACTTTTTGCGCAAGGCAGCAGGAATAAAGCCTTGATTTACAAGCTTCTTAACTTCACAAATGTTACTATAAAATCCCTCTACTGTGGTATTAATGTTAGCGAATCTAACAAGCTGAGAAATAAATACCCCGTAAGAAAGATTCTTTGGGATATTCCCATCTAAAAAAGGATAAGAAATGACATTAAAACTATAGTCTTTCCGTTTATCATAAAGTGTTACTCTAAACTTGCCCCTGTAAATGCTAATACATAAATCTAGATAATTGCACTTACGCGGTGAAACATTAGTACAGTTTACAATCATCTCCGTAGGATAGATATCTCCTAAAATATTCCCTAATAGACCACTATCATTAAACGAAATAAGATCATCTTGATATCGAAATATATTTTCCAAACTCTTAAGTGCAACCTCATCACCATTTTCTATGAGTTTCTTGATATACTCATATTCAAACACATGTAAATAAGTATTAGCAATCTGAGGTCCTGCATTAGTCCCCATCGGGATCCCAATAACTTGCTTGTATATCTTGCCTTGATAAATAACAAAAGAATTATCGATCAAATAGTTAACACATTCTATAAGCTCATCTTTGCTGAAACTAGTCTTATTAGAACTACGTCCTTGGCTAAAATAAGCTCTTTTCGTATAAATATTAGGAATGATAAACGGCTTCTCTTTAAATCCAAAAACACGGTTGATAAACTTTAAAAGATTAGCTTTTAATTGTGTATGAGGAATGGAAGTATAAAGAGTAGAGAAATCGTAAGTATTAATAGATTTAGAACCCATTCTCAAGTTATTAGCGTGAATAAAATCTATAACAGGCTCGTTATTGTCTATAACATAGAAATCATTTCTCGAGTGAAATTTATTATCATAAAGTGACCTATTTTTAGCTGAATGCAATAAAGATTTAAGACAAATTCCCACATATTTAGAAAGTTGCTGTAAGCTACATGCAGCACCTGAAGTAATAAATCTAAAACCCACTGGCGATTTATGCTGTTTAGGGGTAATATATAAATACGGTAATTTACGATTTTCAGGTAATAATTTAATTCCATATTTTAACATAAACTTTTCATGTTCTTGGACAATGTCATCAACTGACCTGTCAATCATCTCGAAATTATCTGAAGCCAGTTCTTCATGAATCTTCGAAATGTAAAACTTCTTACATACAATAGTAATATTATTAGCAGCTTTATCAGTAGGTACTAACACATATTTATCATGCAAAATATCAAGTTCATGTTTAATATGTATTATATATATAGAAAATCAATGAATATTGTATATATACAATATTCATTGATTTTCTAGTGAAGCTAAAAATCCATGAAATAGGTTAAAATTCAGTGAAAATAAGATGATTCTAACCGTTCATGCGTAGCGTATATCTAATATGAGGAGGAAGGGTAGAGTTACCCAGGTTACCCTGGTTACCCTGGTTACTAACCGTTCATGCGTAGCGTATATCTAATATGAGGAGGAAGGGTAGAGTTACCCTGGTTACCCTGGTTACCCTGGTTACTAACCGTTCATGCGTAGCGTATATCTAATATGAGGAGGAAGGGTAGAGTTACCCTGGTTACCCTGGTTACCCTGGTAACTAACCGTTCATGCGTAGCGTATATCTAATATGAGGAGGAAGGGTAGAGTTACCCTGGTTACCCTGGTAACTAACCGTTCATGCGTAGCGTATATCTAATATGAGGAGGAAGGGTAGAGTTACCCTGGTTACCCTGGTTACCCTGGTTACTAACCGTTCATGCGTAGCGTATATCTAATATGAGGAGGAAGGGTAGAGTTACCCTGGTTACCCTGGTTACCCTGGTTACCCTGGTTACCCTGGTTACCCTGGTTACCCTGGTTACCCTGGTTACTAACCGTTCATGCGTAGCGTATATCTAATATGAGGAGGAAGGGTAGAGTTACCCTGGTTACCCTGGTTACTAACCGTTCATGCGTAGCGTATATCTAATATGAGGAGGAAGGGTAGAGTTACCCTGGTTACCCTGGTTACCCTGGTTACCCTGGTTACTAACCGTTCATGCGTAGCGTATATCTAATATGAGGAGGAAGGGTAGAGTTACCCTGGTTACCCTGGTTACTAACCGTTCATGCGTAGCGTATATCTAATATGAGGAGGAAGGGTAGAGTTACCCTGGTTACCCTGGTTACCCTGGTTACTAACCGTTCATGCGTAGCGTATATTTAATATGAGGAGGAAGGGTAGAGTTACCCTGGTTACCCTGGTTACCCTGGTTACCCTGGTTACTAACCGTTCATGCGTAGCGTATATCTAATATGAGGAGGAAGGGTAGAGTTACCCTGGTTACCCTGGTTACTAACCGTTCATGCGTAGCGTATATTTAATATGAGGAGGAAGGGTAGAGTAACTAACCGTTCATGCGTAGCGTATATCTAATATGAGGAGGAAGGGTACAGTTACCCTGGTAACTAACCGTTCATGCGTAGCGTATATTTAATATGAGGAGGAAGGGTAGAGTTACCCTGGTTACCCTGGTTACCCTGGTTACCCTGGTTACCCTGGTTACTAACCGTTCATGCGTAGCGTATATCTAATATGAGGAGGAAGGGTAGAGTTACCCTGGTTACCCTGGTTACCCTGGTTACTAACCGTTCATGCGTAGCGTATATCTAATATGAGGAGGAAGGGTAGAGTTACCCTGGTTACTAACCGTTCATGCGTAGCGTATATCTAATATGAGGAGGAAGGGTAGAGTTACCCTGGTTACCCTGGTTACCCTGGTTACTAACCGTTCATGCGTAGCGTATATCTAATATGAGGAGGAAGGGTAGAGTTACCCTGGTTACCCTGGTTACCCTGGTTACCCTGGTTACTAACCGTTCATGCGTAGCGTATATCTAATATGAGGAGGAAGGGTAGAGTTACCCTGGTTACCCTGGTTACTAACCGTTTATGCGTAGCGTATATCTAATATGAGGAGGAAGGGTAGAGTTACCCTGGTTACCCTGGTTACCCTGGTTACTAACCGTTCATGCGTAGCGTATATCTAATATGAGGAGGAAGGGTAGAGTTACCCTGGTTACCCTGGTAACTAACCGTTCATGCGTAGCGTATATCTAATATGAGGAGGAAGGGTAGAGTTACCCTGGTTACCCTGGTTACCCTGGTTACTAACCGTTCATGCGTAGCGTATATCTAATATGAGGAGGAAGGGTAGAGTTACCCTGGTTACCCTGGTAACTAACCGTTCATGCGTAGCGTATATTTAATATGAGGAGGAAGGGTAGAGTTACCCTGGTTACCCTGGTTACCCTGGTTACTAACCGTTCATGCGTAGCGTATATCTAATATGAGGAGGAAGGGTAGAGTTACCCTGGTTACCCTGGTTACCCTGGTAACTAACCGTTCATGCGTAGCGTATATCTAATATGAGGAGGAAGGGTAGAGTTACCTGGTTACCCTGGTAACTAACCGTTCATGCGTAGCGTATATTTAATATGAGGAGGAAGGGTAGAGTTACCCTGGTTACCCTGGTTACCCTGGTTACTAACCGTTCATGCGTAGCGTATATCTAATATGAGGAGGAAGGGTAGACGTTACCCTGGTTACCCTGGTTACTAACCGTTCATGCGTAGCGTATATCTAATATGAGGAGGAAGGGTAGAGTTACCCTGGTTACCCTGGTTACCCTGGTTACTAACCGTTCATGCGTAGCGTATATCTAATATGAGGAGGAAGGGTAGAGTTACCCTGGTTACCCTGGTTACCCTGGTTACTAACCGTTCATGCGTAGCGTATATCTAATATGAGGAGGAAGGGTAGAGTTACCCTGGTTACCCTGGTTACTAACCGTTCATGCGTAGCGTATATCTAATATGAGGAGGAAGGGTAGAGTTACCTGGTTACCCTGGTTACCCTGGTAACTAACCGTTCATGCGTAGCGTATATCTAATATGAGGAGGAAGGGTAGAGTTACCCTGGTTACTAACCGTTCATGCGTAGCGTATATCTAATATGAGGAGGAAGGTAGAGTTTACTAACCGTTCATGCGTAGCGTATATCTAATATGAGGAGGAAGGGTGGAGTTACCCTGGTTACCCCTGGTTACTAACCGTTCATGCGTAGCGTATATCTAATATGAGGAGGAAGGGTAGAGTTACCCTGGTTACCCTGGTTACTAACCGTTCATGCGTAGCGTATATCTAATATGAGGAGGAAGGGTAGAGTTACCCTGGTTACCCTGGTTACCCTGGTAACTAACCGTTCATGCGTAGCGTATATCTAATATGAGGAGGAAGGGTGGAGTTACCCTGGTTACCCTGGTTACTAACCGTTCATGCGTAGCGTATATCTAATATGAGGAGGAAGGGTAGAGTTACCCTGGTTACCTGGTTACCCTGGTTACTAACCGTTCATGCGTAGCGTATATTTAATATGAGGAGGAAGGGTAGAGTTACCCTGGTTACCCTGGTTACCCTGGTACTAACCGTTCATGCGTAGCGTATATCTAATATGAGGAGGAAGGGTAGAGTTACCCTGGTTACCCTGGTTACTAACCGTTCATGCGTAGCGTATATCTAATATGAGGAGGAAGGGTTGAGTTACCCTGGTTACCCTGGTAACTAACCGTTCATGCGTAGCGTATATCTAATATGAGGAGGAAGGGTTGAGTTACCCTGGTTACCCTGGTTACCCTGGTTACTAACCGTTCATGCGTAGCGTATATCTAATATGAGGAGGAAGGGTAGAGTTACCCTGGTTACCTGGTTACCCTGGTTACTAACCGTTCATGCGTAGCGTATATCTAATATGAGGAGGAAGGGTAGAGTTACCCTGGTTACCCTGGTTACCCTGGTTACTAACCGTTCATGCGTAGCGTATATCTAATATGAGGAGGAAGGGTAGAGTTACCCTGGTTACCCTGGTTACCCTGGTTACTAACCGTTCATGCGTAGCGTATATCTAATATGAGGAGGAAGGGTAGAGTTACCCTGGTTACCCTGGTCACCCTGGTTACTAACCGTTCATGCGTAGCGTATATCTAATATGAGGAGGAAGGGTAGAGTTACCCTGGTTACCCTGGTCACCCTGGTTACTAACCGTTCATGCGTAGCGTATATCTAATATGAGGAGGAAGGGTAGAGTTACCCTGGTTACCCTGGTTACCCTGGTTACCCTGGTTACTAACCGTTCATGCGTAGCGTATATCTAATATGAGAAGGAAGGGTAGAGTTACCCTGGTTACCCTGGTCACCCTGGTTACTAACCGTTCATGCGTAGCGTATATCTAATATGAGGAGGAAGGGTAGAGTTACCCTGGTTACCCTGGTTACTAACCGTTCATGCGTAGCGTATATCTAATATGAGGAGGAAGGGTAGAGTTACCCTGGTTACCCTGGTTACCCTGGTTACTAACCGTTCATGCGTAGCGTATATCTAATATGAGGAGGAAGGGTAGAGTTACCCTGGTTACCCTGGTTACCCTGGTTACTAACCGTTCATGCGTAGCGTATATCTAATATGAGGAGGAAGGGTAGAGTTACCCTGGTTACCTTGGTTACCCTGGTTACTAACCGTTCATGCGTAGCGTATATCTAATATGAGGAGGAAGGGTAGAGTTACCCTGGTTACCTGGTTACCCTGGTAACTAACCGTTCATGCGTAGCGTATATCTAATATGAGGAGGAAGGGTAGAGTTACCCTGGTAACTAACCGTTCATGCGTAGCGTATATTTAATATGAGGAGGAAGGGTGGAGTTACCCTGGTTACCCTGGTAACTAACCGTTCATGCGTAGCGTATATTTAATATGAGGAGGAAGGGTAGAGTTACCCTGGTTACCCTGGTTACTAACCGTTCATGCGTAGCGTATATCTAATATGAGGAGGAAGGGTAGAGTTACCCTGGTTACCCTGGTTACCCTGGTTACTAACCGTTCATGCGTAGCGTATATCTAATATGAGGAGGAAGGGTAGAGTTACCCTGGTTACCCTGGTTACCCTGGTTACTAACCGTTCATGCGCAGCGTATATCTAATATGAGGAGGAAGGGTAGAGTTACCCTGGTTACCCTGGTTACCCTGGTTACTAACCGTTCATGCGCAGTGTATATCTAATATGAGGAGGAAGGGTAGAGTTACCCTGGTTACCCTGGTTACCCTGGTTACTAACCGTTCATGCGCAGCGTATATCTAATATGAGGAGGAAGGGTGGAGTTACCCTGGTTACCCTGGTTACTAACCGTTCATGCGTAGCGTATATCTAATATGAGGAGGAAGGGTGGAGTTACCCTGGTTACCCTGGTTACTAACCGTTCATGCGTAGCGTATATCTAATATGAGGAGGAAGGGTGGAGTTACCCTGGTTACCCTGGTTACTAACCGTTCATGCGTAGCGTATATCTAATATGAGGAGGAAGGGTAGAGTTACCCTGGTTACCTTGGTTACCCTGGTTACTAACCGTTCATGCGTAGCGTATATCTAATATGAGGAGGAAGGGTGGAGTTACCCTGGTTACCCTGGTTACTAACCGTTCATGCGTAGCGTATATCTAATATGAGGAGGAAGGGTAGAGTTACCCTGGTTACCCTGGTTACTAACCGTTCATGCGTAGCGTATATCTAATATGAGGAGGAAGGGTAGAGTTTACTAACCGTTCATGCGTAGCGTATATCTAATATGAGGAGGAAGGGTAGAGTTACCCTGGTTACCCTGGTTACCCTGGTTACTAACCGTTCATGCGTAGCGTATATCTAATATGAGGAGGAAGGGTAGAGTTTACATTTGTAAACACTATGCCAGCCCAAACTACAGATTCACTCGCTTTTATCCACTGAAATAACAATTAAATTACTTTTAGCGATAATTGTTAGCCACTCACCGGCAATTATTTAGATCTATCACGTGATAGATATTTAATAAACCAAGCTACATGAACATAATCTGTATATACATAAGTAATAAGGTAACTAGGTAACTAGGTCACTAGGTAAGTAACTAGGTAACAAGCTACAATAACATAAGCTCGCCGACCTGTTCCATCACTGTTGTGTCGTTGAAAGGGACGAAAACATCAAAGTCTATATCGTTTGTGTGGTGGATATAGAGCTTGAGGTGATCTGAAATTATTAAAATCATGATTAATTAGTAATTCACCAGTTCGTCCTTCAGACGGTCCTGCAGCAGGACTGTCACTAGGTAAGTAAATATGTAACAAGGTAAGTAGGTAACTAGGTAAGTAACTAGGTAACTAGGTAAACTGACCAGTAACAAGGTAACTAGGTAACTAGGTAAGTAACTAGGTAACTAGGTAACTAGGTAAGTAAATAGGTAACTAGGTAAATTGACCAGTAATAAGGTAACTAGGTAACTAGGTAAGTAACTAGGTAACTAGGTAAACTGACCAGTAATGAGGTTGATATCACTGCTGAGTTGGTTAGTAGACACGACAGTCTGCAACACTGGGTGTAGTTCTAGTAGGGAGTTAGCGAAGCTGCCAGAGCTGCTGCCAGTCTCATAAAACGCTTGTACCACCTGATAAACGGTCACGTGATATTAGTTTAATCCGGAAACTTGGAGCGTTGCCAAACATGATACTATTTACATTTTACATGGGAAATTTGGGCAAAAAAAACGTACCAAAGATTTAGGATCCGACAAAAAGTGCAATTTTAAGTTGCGGAACAGATCTCAACCTACATTATAACAGTAACTTACATTATATCACTTAGCAGTGATGTAAATTTTATCACTTAGCAGTGATGTATTTTACATAAATCACAGATATAAAACACTGTGAAAATATAAGTCGAGCTGACAGAAAAATAGTCTATGACCTGCAGCTGACTCTCCCACTAAAAATAAGGTTCTAACTTTGAGTATGTTCCTGAGAGCTCTCTGTTGCCGGGTGAACTTGTTGAACCAAGGCTGTAGCTCCTCAGGGACCACTAAAGGGTTCTCTAGGTAGCAATCAGTTACTCGATCTAGGAGCTGGGAATGTAATAATGTAACTAGGTTACTAGGTAAGTAACTGGTAAGTAACTAGTAAGTAACTAGGGACCACTAAAGGGTTCTCTAGGTAGCAATCAGTTACTCGATCTAGGAGCTGGGAATGTAATAATGTAACTAGGTTACTAGGTAAGTAACTGGTAAGTAACTAGTAAGTAACTAGGGACCACTAAAGGGTTCTCTAGGTAACAATCAGTTATTCGATCTAGGAGCTGGGAATGGTCGCTTCTTGATTCTTGAGTTATAACTTTGAGTTGGATAGCGAATTTGATTTCAGGTTTTAACCTTATAACATTCTTCAATGACAATTGTACTTCAGGTAGAGAAACACTGGTAACTAGGTAACTAAGTAACAAGGTAACTAAGTAACCAGATAACCAGATAACCAGGTAACTAGGCGAACTAACCAGTAACAAGGTAACACTCTCCGTATTGACACTCTGTAGACACTGCTGCACGAGCGGGGCACTCACCACCCAATGCTCGGAAAAGTTGCGTAACTTTACTGCTGTCTCGAATGTAGCGTTCATCTGGGAGTTTGAATTGTGAGTATTAGTGTTCTCAATAACTGATGGTAGATTAGTTGAGGCAGTATGTAAAGATAACAAACTAAAGCGGACTGTATGAGGGATTTCCTGGCGATTTTAACTATGAAACTTTTAGCCTGGTTACAGTAGATATGCCAGCTCGCAGAGCAAACAGCTCAATATTATTTATAAGTCTATACTAACCTTGGTAATGATATTCCTGACAGGAGGGGAGTCAGGAGATAAGGTTATTTTGGCGTGTTTGTAACCAGGTAACCAGGTAACCAGGTAACCAGGTAACCAGGTAACCAGGTAACCAGGTAACCAGGTAACCAGGTAACCAGGTAACCAGGTAACCAGGTAACCAGGTAACCAGGTAACCAGGTAACCAGGTAACCAGGTAACCAGGTAACCAGGTAACCAGGTAACCAGGTAACCAGGTAACCAGGTAACCAGGTAACCAGGTAACCAGGTAACCAGGTAACCAGGTAACCAGGTAACCAGGTAACCAGGTAACCAGGTAACCAGGTAACCAGGTAACCAGGTAACCAGGTAACCAGGTAACCAGGTAACCAGGTAACCAGGTAACCAGGTAACCAGGTAACCAGGTAACCAGGTAACCAGGTAACCAGGTAACCAGGTAACCAGGTAACCAGGTAACCAGGTAACCAGGTAACCAGGTAACCAGGTAACCAGGTAACCAGGTAACCAGGTAACCAGGTAACCAGGTAACCAGGTAACCAGGTAACCAGGTAACCAGGTAACCAGGTAACCAGGTAACCAGGTAACCAGGTAACCAGGTAACCAGGTAACCAGGTAACCAGGTAACCAGGTAACCAGGTAACCAGGTAACCAGGTAACCAGGTAACCAGGTAACCAGGTAACCAGGTAACCAGGTAACCAGGTAACCAGGTAACCAGGTAACCAGGTAACCAGGTAACCAGGTAACCAGGTAACCAGGTAACCAGGTAACCAGGTAACCAGGTAACCAGGTAACCGGGTTAGACAGACTAACCTTGGTAATGATATTCCTGACAGGAGGGGTGTCAGGAGAGAAGGTTATCTTGGCGTGTTTGAAGTCAGATAACAGCTTCAGCTTCACTCCCAGAGTCCTGGTCTCTTCGTCTGTGGGGTCTATTGCTGAAGGGTCTCTACCACACAACATACCCTGCAGTGAGTTTAGAATAACATCTTATTTCATACGATTTTGAAATTTTATCAATAAATACGTTAGTGTTCTGTCAGCTTCAAGAATCGCAAAGTATTTGTATTATCATATTAAGCTAATGAATTAATCAAAATAAAAAACCTGAATGTAACGGGTCTTGTTAGAGAGTTTCAGAGCCTGTAAATCAAACTTGACCATCTTTGTTTTTTCGTTAATTCCCTGACTGGCTACCATCACTTCCATTGAGAGCAGGTCCAGGTCCAGGGACTGCAGGCTAGTTCTAAATGGAAATTAGTCAGAATGTGTCGTTTCAGAGCAGTAGAAATATCATCCTCTCCAAATTCAAGCTAATTGAAGCACTTTCAAATTGAGAATACTGATGCTGATGACACTGGAATTATACAGTTTTATACTGCAACAGATTAGGACTCACTTTCCTTTGTGGGCCATAATACGGTACATGTACTGGATATCCTGGTTACCTGGTTACATGGTTACCTGGTTACATGGTTACCTGGTTACCTGGTTACCTGGTTACCTGGTTACCTGGTTACCTGGTTACCTGGTTACCTGGTTACCTGGTTACTCACTTTCCCTTGTGGGCCATAATACGGCACATATACTGGATATCCTGGTCTGATTTGAGTGCTGGGTCATTACACAAGTACTGCTGCAATTTGTCTGTGTGAATACTCTGAGAAAATAACAATTACTATCAATTAACTAATTAATTAATTACTATTAGTAAAGATTCAAAGCAATGGTTTCTTAAGTCTAACTAAATCGTCCCTCAAGTTTCTCTCGGGAAATGTTTCTAATTCTTAAGTGATGTTAAACTAATTCTAAATGATACTTTCTTTATCCACGCTGAATAGTTGGATCAGTACCTTATGAAATCTCAAGTTGAACTTCGGAAACAATAATATTAAATTAAGTATTTTTTTGGAAACGGTTACGAATTGCTCATACCTTAAAATTTTGGGCTCTTTTGCGACTTTTAAAACATAAATTTTGCTTTTCACTCCCTCACAAAACCCACTGTTAGTTACAAATACCCCAAATTAGAAATACCCCTATTCTCACGGGCCGAGCTTTTGACTTTTGTGTATGGTTAGTGAATGGATTGGTAACAATTTTATTTTTCACAGCTGAGGGAATGAGGTGTCGGTGATGCAGGATAAATTATAACAACTCTGATTTCTTTGAAGGTACCACTTTACAAATATAAAGACTTGAGTCCTTTGTAATTCGAGTTCATGATTACATGATACCATGATGTAACTTAAACGGAGATGATTCTTAAAGTTTGCAAGTGAAAACCACGTTCAACATTAACTAGTACTAAGTTAAACAATATAATATTCTCCAAAATACCACATAAAAGCGATCAAAAAGTGATTAACAAGTGATTAACAAGTGATTAACAAGTGATTAACAAGTGATTAAAAGTGATTAACAAGTGATTAAAAGTGATTAACAAGTGATTAACAAGTGATTAAAAAGTGATTAACAAGTGATTTAAAAGTGATTAACAAGTGATTAACAAGTGATTAACAAGTGATTAACAAGTGATTAAAAAGTGATTAACAAGTGATTAACAAGTGATTAACAAGTGATTAACAAGTGATTAACAAGTGAATAAAAAGTGATTAAAAAGTGATTAACAAGTGATTAACAAGTTATTAACAAGTGATTAACAAAACTTGATTAGCAAGTGATTGACTAGTGATTAGTAAGTTATTAACAAGTGATTAACAAGTGATCAATAAGTAGGAGTTAGTTACAAACCTCACTGTGACTTCCTTTATTTACATATTTGTGTTTAAAATACTCCTTCATCATTATTTCCATACTATTTTCCGCTTTGTATGCCGTCTCCTTGTCCACGTTTCCGCTTAACATTTTCTTGAGGGCTGCTTGAGCTGTCAAAGGATCAAGGACTGACAGAGGGCCAAGGTTGTTAAATACGTCTAATTTTAATTAGCTTTTATATATTTTTTAGAAATATCTTTGATCGAAAATATGTCACACTCACTCCACATGATAAATACATTTTTATCCCTTATCGGACATAATTGTCACAGAAAAGTTTTTCAAGGACCAAATTTTTTACGGACATAATTATTCACGCTCATGACCGCCCAAAAATGTCCAAAAATTGTAAAAATGTTTGGTAATTTTTAATAAGTGTTTTACTCTTTTTCTGAACTCTAGAATGTGACTGAGGAGTGATTATATTTGTTTTAGTACACTAATAAACTAATATAGTAATCGGCTACACATAATTTCTGCATATGTAGGGACACACACATTAAAATTAATGGAAATAATCACCGGACTTTATTATTCACGGACCTTAATGCCACAGACATTATTTTCACGAACTTAATTATTCACGCTAAGGTCTTCAGCGTGAAAGTAATGTCCGTGATAATCATGACCGATAAGGTAGTACTTTTAATAACGTATTAATAAAAATACAAATCTAACAACCTTGCATAGGGTCAAGGGCTGAGGCTTTGTTTTTCAGATCTTTGTAAATAGGGATTTCATCTGTCGGATCTGGGTATACTTCGTCTACAAGCTGTTGGGAGGAAACTTTTCAGTGTTGGTTTTATTTTTGTTGCCGAAATTAACGAATTAATAAAATGATTAAGCAAGCGTTCCGTTATCTTTATCCCGAATCCCTGTAAATATTTAGAGGCCTCTCTAAACTAATTTACACTAAATAATTTGCCTGCACCTGATAAGATAACGTTACATTACCTCGTGTGGTTCTACTTCATCGTAAGGTGCAGTTAACATGGACGCCAGGTCTCTCTTGTAAAGCTTATACACCGGTAAAAGGGGATCTGGGGGAGGTTTTAGAATAATATATTATAAATTATAAATGATTCATCTAATTCACATACAAAAATATAAAGGTATATACCTTATCGGACTTTATTTGGACGGACATTAATTGGACGCTGGAGGCCCTAGTGTTCATTTTAATGTCCACTCAAAATGTCCACTCAAAATTGTGTCCGTTCACGAAATGTCCGGTCATATTACGTCCGAAAAGGTAGAGATATAGCACTCACCTTAACATTACAATCAATAAATGATAATACTACATCATCTCCAACATTGGATTAACATACATGCATTAGTCATCTTAATCGTGATCCTACTATGGATATATCACTAACCTGATGAATTGGTAAATGAGGCTGGTATCAGACCAGAAGAGTTGTCAACAACATTCTCCCACGACCGAGCTATTCCCTCCTGAAATATATCCTGGTTAGTTCATTTTAAAGTAGGTCGTCTCACCGCCTGCCTAAATCCATTTTTTAGCTATCTATTTATAGCTATCTATTTAGCTATGATCAATTGGATGCTAATTGGAAGCTAATTGGATGCTAATTAGCCCATAATAGTCTCTATTCTCCAAGGATCAACAAATTATGTTACATCCCACCAAGAATTAAGAAACGTCACTAAGCATTGAGCTCCATAAAAAATTAATATGCTAATTGGAAAACACCCGAATCAGTAATTAATTTCCACCAACCTTCACAGCCTCAACATCGTCCGTATCAGTAATGTTGAACATGTCTTTAAGCATTGTAGTGTGATACTCAGTGAGTAAGGAGTAAGTATCAGTTAGCTGTACTGTTGCGTCTATCAGGGATATCATCGGGTATATGCTGCAAACATTGGGGGAATTAGCACTAATTAGCAGTACTTAGCATCGGGTATATGCTGCAAACATTAGGGGAATTAGCACTAATCAGCAGTACTTAGCATCGGGTATATGCATGCTGCAAACATTAGGGGAAATTAGCATCGGGTATATGCTGCAAACATTAGGGGAATTAGCACTAATTAGCATCGGGTATATGCTGCAAACATTGAGGGAATTAGCACTAATTAGCAGTACTTAGCATCGGGTATATGCTGCAAACATTAGGGGAATTAGCACTAATTAACAGTACTTAGCATCGGGTATATGCTGCAAACATTGGGGGAATTAGCACTAATTAGCATCGGGTATATGCTGCAAACATTAGGGCAATTAACACTAATTAGCATCGGGTATATGCTGCAAACATTAGGGGAATTAGCACTAATTAGCATCGGGTATATGCTGCAAACATTATGGTAATTAGCACTAATTAGCACTAATTAGCATCGGGTATATGCTGCAAACATTAGGGTAATTAGCACTAATTAGCATCGGGTATATGCTGCAAACATTGGGGGAATTAGCATTAATTAGCATCAGGTATATGCTGCAAACATTGGGGGAATGAGCTGCAAACATTAGGGGAATTAGCACTAATTAGCATCGGGTATATGCTGCAAACATTAGGGGAATTAGCAGTACTTAGCATGATGTTACTATTAATATAACTTGACGTCACCAAAATCTAGCTGAGTTATAAAACCACAACACTACTTGACGTCATTACAACACCATGTGACGTCACTGCAACACCACGTGACGTCACTGCAACACAATGTGACGTCACTGCAACACCACGTGACGTCACTACAACACTAACCTAGCTCCAGAGTACTTTTTGTACGGTGACGCATGCTCCAGTCTGATCTCAGGTCGGCCACTAATTGGGTCACACATCAGGGACTGTATAAAGGGGACGTATCCTGCTGAGGGCATCGGCTTCGCGTAGTAGTACTCTGAGGGTGTGTTAGAGGTAGTGAGGGTGAGTTAGAGGGAGGGAGGGTGAGTTAGAGGGTAAGAGGGAGTGAGGGTGAGTTAGAGGGAGTGAGGGTGAGTTAGAGGGAGTGAGGGTGAGTTAGAGGGAGTGAGGGTGAGTTAGAGGGAGTGAGGGTGAGTTAGAGGGAGTGAGGGTGAGTTAGAGGGAGTGAGGGTGAGTTAGAGGGAGTGAGGGTGAGTTAGAGGGAGTGAGGGTGAGTTAGAGGGAGTGAGGGTGAGTTAGAGGGAGTGAGGGTGAGTTAGAGGGAGTGAGGGTGAGTTAGAGGGAGTGAGGGTGAGTTAGAGGGAGTGAGGGTGAGTTAGAGGGAGTGAGGGTGAGTTAGAGGGAGTGAGGGTGAGTTAGAGGGAGTGAGGGTGAGTTAGAGGGAGTGAGGGTGAGTTAGAGGGAGTGAGGGTGAGTTAGAGGGAGTGAGGGTGAGTTAGAGGGAGTGAGGGTGAGTTAGAGGGAGTGAGGGTGAGTTAGAGGGAGTGAGGGTGAGTTAGAGGGAGTGAGGGTGAGTTAGAGGGGGTGAGGGTGAGTTAGAGGGAGTGAGGGTGAGTTAGAGGGGGTGAGGGTGAGTTTTGACTTTTTAAAGATAAGAATGTTATCTGAAATTGCTTTAAAATATTATTTTAAAGCAAAATATTTTACCAACTGACCAAGTGATTTATTGCGCAAAACATTATCCAGTTTCCACCTATACTAAATTACTATGAAAAATTAATAGATTATACCGCTTGGTTAGGAAATTAAGTTATTAGATTAATATACAACTTACTATCTGAAACATTGACAGGAGGCAGCTTTAGTCGCACTGCGAGTAGGACGAGGAAAAGGACCAAAGGTAGGAGGATCTGCAATAGAGTCACCCACTGAAATACAAGTTATTTGTTATTATTTAATGGGTGCCTGAAATAGAGTCACCCACTGAAATACAAGTTATTTGTTATTATTTAATGGGTGCCTGAAATAGAGTCACCCACTGAAATACAAGTTATTTGTTATTATTTAATGGGTGCCTGAAATAGAGTCACCCACTGAAATACAAGTTATTTGTTATTATTTAATGGGTGCCTGAAATAGAGTCACCCACTGAAATACAAGTTATTTGTTATTATTTATTGGGTATCTGCAATAGAGTCACCCACTGAAATACAAGTTATTTGTTATTATTTAATGGGTATCTGCAACAGAGTCACCCACTGAAATACAAGTTATTTGTTATTATTTAATGGGTATCTGCAATAGAGTCACCCACTGAAATACAAGTTATTTGTTATTATTTATTGGGTATCTGCAATAGAGTCACCCACTGAAATACAAGTTATTTGTTATTATTTAATGGCTGACTGAAATCTAGGACACTAGCAACAGATATTTTCTATTTAGTTTTTCATCACTTTTTGACCTGACCTCAGCTGGATCTTTTTCCTTCCATCTTCTTGTCTACAACAAAACACCCTAAAATTCTTCCTTTTAAAGTTATGGTAAAAAAAGAAATTTTTAATTGAAACTTCACTTACTGGTTTTCTCTTGATCAAGATAGCATTTTTCCACAATAGTAGTTTTATTTGTATGAATCTCATACGATGCTAACGAAAATAAAAAACGTTAAAAATGAGTAATTATGGTTTAGAAAAATGAGAAAATTTAAAATAAAGTAGCAAATATCAATTTCATACATACAAATCTAAGTACTTAAGTATTTCCCAGGCAAAGTGTCACCTTATTGATACCACAAATAACAAATCTAAGCAAGTAATTTAAACGTTTTCCCTTAATCAGTTGAAACGGCAGAGACTCACTGAACTACTGATCTCCCTGAAAAACAAGTCCCTAATTTATTCAACAGAGATTGAAGGTTCACCGAATTTTATTAATCAAAATGTTAACACGTTTCTTAGACTCTAAATGTAATAAAATCGGCAGTATATATATATTATCATTTAACTTGCAGAGCTTTCAAATTTCGAAAACACTTTTCTAAAAAAGAGAAAAAGCCGTTAAAACGCCGTAAACGAGATTACTAGATTGATAAGCGAAAAACAACGAAATTCGTTAAAGTAAAGTAGAAATGATACTTCTTATCTTGATACCTCTTATCTTATGATTTGATAAGACCTTATTAATGGCTTCTAACTCTAAAGTGCAAGTTTGATAAAGAAAGGTAGATTATAATAAAGGACAATGAGTACGATACTATTACTACGATCAGGACGGTTTGTAACCGTGACATTTGATAAGTTGCGTCTGGGGAGGCAGCTTGTCTGAAGGGTGACTCTAAACAACTCAGGTAACCATGTAACCAGGTAACCATGTAACCAGGTAACCAGGTAACCAGGTAACCAGGTAACCAGGTAACCAGGTAACCAGGTAACCAGGTAACCAGGTAACCAGGTAACCAGGTAACCAGGTAACCAGGTAACCAGGTAACCAGGTAACCAGGTAACCAGGTAACCAGGTAACCAGGTAACCAGGTAACCAGGTAACCAGGTAACCAGGTAACCAGGTAACCATGTAACCAGGTAACCAGGTAACCAGGTAACCAGGTAACCAGGTAACCAGGTAACCAGGTAACCAGGTAACCAGGTAACCAGGTAACCAGGTAACCAGGTAACCAGGTAACCAGGTAACCAGGTAACCAGGTAACCAGGTAACCAGGTAACCAGGTAACCAGGTAACCAGGTAACCAGGTAACCAGGTAACCAGGTAACCAGGTAACCAGGTAACCAGGTAACCAGGTAACCAGGTAACCAGGTAACCAGGTAACCAGGTAACCAGGTAACCAGGTAACCAGGTAACCAGGTAACCAGGTAACCAGGTAACCAGGTAACCAGGTAACCAGGTAACCAGGTAACCAGGTAACCAGGTAACCAGGTAACCAGGTAACCAGGTAACCAGGGAGGCAGCTTGTCTGAAGGGTGACTCTAAATAACTCTGGTATAATTAAAAACAAAGAAAAGGGTTCAATACGGCAAGTTTAATAAAATGGTTTATATTAGCTGCTACATAATTAATGGTTATTAGCCGCTACATAATTACTGCTCGCTTGTAAAAACCAATAAAAAACAGAAGCTCTTTGTACAGTGACATGAGCAGCGTTGCTAGTAGTAGCAACTGAAGCTAACGACAGTATTGAAGATTTGATAAAAACAACCATTGTCCCCGAATACACAACCAGGTAACCAGGTAACCAGGTAACCAGGTAACCAGGTAACCAGGTAACCAGGTAACCAGGTAACCAGGTAACCAGGTAACCAGGTAACCAGGTAACCAGGTAACCAGGTAACCAGGTAACCAGGTAACCAGGTAACCAGGTAACCAGGTAACCAGGTAACCAGGTAACCAGGTAACCAGGTAACCAGGTAACCAGGTAACCAGGTAACCAGGTAACCAGGTAACCAGGTAACCAGGTAACCAGGTTACCAGGTAACCAGGTAACCAGGTTACCAGGTAACCAGGTAACCAGGTTACCAGGTAACCAGGTAACCAGGTTACCAGGTAACCAGGTAACCAGGTTACCAGGTAACCAGGTAACCAGGTTACCAGGTAACCAGGTAACCAGGTTACCAGGTAACCAGGTAACCAGGTTACCAGGTAACCAGGTAACCAGGTTACCAGGTAACCAGGTAACCAGGTAACCAGGTTACCAGGTAACCAGGTTACCAGGTAACCAGGTAACCAGGTTACCAGGTAACCAGGTTACCAGGTAACCAGGTAACCAGGTTACCAGGTAACCAGGTAACCAGGTAACCAGGTAACCAGGTTACCAGGTAACCAGGTAACCAGGTTACCAGGTAACCAGGTAACCAGGTAACCAGGTAACCAGGTAACCAGGTTACCAGGTAACCAGGTAACCAGGTTACCAGGTAACCAGGTAACCAGGTTACCAGGTAACCAGGTAACCAGGTTACCAGGTAACCAGGTAACCAGGTAACCAGGTAACCAGGTTACCAGGTAACCAGGTAACCAGGTTATCCCCGAATACACAATGTCGATAACACACAGTTTACTGTAACACGTTTACAACGGTCTCTACACACAATGTTAGAGTACTGTGAGTAATAAATATTGCTCCGAAATTACGATCGGTCAGGAGCTATTATTTTATTATCCTCAATAGGTTGTTCAAATAAAGGAATTATGTATAATATATTATATGTAATATATACTGTAACATGACGTGATTGTGATACGATTCTGACGAACATTAACTGTAGCTGCTATATTACTATAGGTAACAGCGTTTTCCTTTGTAACGTTACTACTTTATTATTAATATAACGTAGCGTTATATTTATATTAAATGTTAATATATTAATCATAATCATGAATATATATGTGTTATTTGAAATTATATTTATGACTACTAGAAGCAAACATTTGACTTCTATAGAAGCAATTACATTGTAAATAAAAGATTGTTGCTCTGCTGCTCTGAAATATGATGAGGTTATGATATAAAGAACGCCTAAGGGCTGCAAAGTAAGCGGATAAAGATTTACAAATCATTCTTCAGAAATTTTTTTTACCAGAGTAATAATCGTGTCTACTATATAACATCGGAAATACATCATCCTTAGTGGGAAAAGCAGTGGATATTTCAATTTCAGTAATTGGAAGCGAACTTGAACGTGTAATATCCGGAAAGAAACATTATGAGTCGCATTGTTGTGATGTTTATCATTATGATGAAAATGTCTGATAATTTCGTATATGCGACAAAGTGAACAAGAATTGCGCCCGTTGTTTCGTTTTGGCGGACGATAGATTTCCATTTCACTATAACTATTAATATAAGCTCTAATCAGCTCACCTTATAATAATAATATTGAAACATCAGTAGACTACGCGTGCCACATTCAAGTTGGGCTTATTACAAAATACTATACATTACTAGTATACATTAAAATACGCTCGTGCCGCGCATTCATTGACCACAGACTAGCTATACACCACATCTCCGCAAGCAATCCCCGTGCGCGTGCGCGCGGCAAGTTGACATGGTAACGAACGGAAGCAAGCAAGTAAGGAACACGACATATATTTGACCCACCTACCGCTATCTCCAAAATCCACGTTTTTCTGCAAAAACGTCCATTCGTAACCTTTCACTATTGCCTTTTTTCAAAAGGGTGAAAAGGAAAAAATATGTTATTTTTTGATGTTACAAGTTTATTACTTGTAACATCACACGTGTCCTACGCCCTCGTGTCTAACGCCCTGTTACATAATACGTAACTACCTTATCGCGGACTTTATTTGAGCGGACATGAATTGGACGCTGCTCTAGCGGTCATTTTAACGTTCCGTTCGCTAATCTTGACGGAGGTGAAGATTGGAAATTTGCCAATATTTGCCGCATAGATCAGTCAAGAAAACAAAGGAGAGTAAAGTTGCAACACTGAAATTACTATTACTCAAACACTGTGAAAGAAACAGGCTCGAAAACGAAATCTGATCCTGTGTACTACGTCCTTATTGGCATTGTACAATGTATTGGCATTGTTAACCTCCTGGTTACCTGGTTACCTGGTTACCTGGTTACCTGGTTACCTGGTTACCTGGTTACCTGGTTACCTGGTTACCTGGTTACCTGGTTACCTGGTTACCTGGTTACCTGGTTACCTGGTTACCTGGTTACCTGGTTACCTGGTTACCTGGTTACCTGGTTACCTGGTTACCTGGTTACCTGGTTACCTGGTTACCTGGTTACCTGGTTACCTGGTTACCTGGTTACCTGGTTACCTGGTTACCTGGTTACCTGGTTACCTGGTTACCTGGTTACCTGGTTACCTGGTTACCTGGTTACCTGGTTACCTGGTTACCTGGTTACCTGGTTACCTGGTTACCTGGTTACCTGGTTACCTGGTTACCTGGTTACCTGGTTACCTGGTTACCTGGTTACCTGGTTACCTGGTTACCTGGTTACCTGGTTACCTGGTTACCTGGTTACCTGGTTACCTGGTTACCTGTGCATTGTGCAGATATAATGGTGACTGTGATGGAAATGTTACATGCAATGCATGTATGTGGGAGCAAAGCAAAAGAGGGGTATGACTCTCTGCAATCTGCATACCCTGCTGAATGGGTCTGCTATTCAGGTTAATATCCTACTCAGTGTTACCTAGATTGTTGTACATTGTACATTGTACATTGTACAACTGTCATACTCGATAGAAGTATGAGTATGACTTATTTATTAAAAAGCTAATTTTTGAAAAAGTCTGTCATATTTGTGACTACTAGTTACTACCACTGTATATATATTGGGTACTACTAGTTGTAGTAATACTATAACTATCCCTTGTGATGACTATAACATTTATTTAAACCTAGAAACGAGTGGCGGCATTAAGCGGAGATATTAAACACTGCAATCGAAGGAATTGTTATTTTGAACTGGGTATTCCAGTTCCACTTTGGCTGAATGCCAAGAAATTAGTTTAAAACGGTGATCATATCCAGTATCCACGCGTGGTAGTATCTTGGATTACTCCGAAACTTAGGAATTTTAGGAGAATTGCAGAGATCCGTTTATTTTATGGATCAATTATTTGGTAAGAACATTCAGAGAACTCAGCAACAAATATTATTTATTCGAAAACATTATTTTCCTCTTCAACCGGCCGATTTCACCAATTTGACCATCCTTAAAACTTTAAAATGATCGTAACTATAAAATAATACTCATTTAATTTCGGTATCTCTAATTTAGCACTGTGGCAATTCCGTGATCAACAACAACAATAAAAACTTACGAGTATAACTACAGCGTGTACCAGACAGAGGGTGTGAACACTTACCACTTATCAAATACCACTGCACCATATTGATATCATTCTGATATTGTAAATGTATATCGCT